ACTGTACACAGAGTATTACAGAGTTCATGAACATAAGGTACCGGTATCATCGTGACTACAGTTCCACAAAAGTAGAAATGATGCCCTTTGGACGCCAAGTCACCTTTGCCACTTGAGGACCTTCTTCTGGGCCTGGGATACTAGTATTTCTAACCAAGTCACAAAGGCTTATGGTGTCAGACATTCAAAACAAATGCAAACAAAGAAAAGGTCAGGCTATTATTCTGTTACCGTCAAAATGGCTTTGACTGATACAATAAGGAGATGGAAAACTGTCAAACTTTGGTGAATACAGTACCGATGAAACGTCTCATTAAGACAAACAATGACACTTGATGTTAAAGAAAACCCCAAGTGTGGCAGTTGCATCTCATTGTTGTGCCACCCAGCATGTAACAAGCCACCAGTGCTAAAGCGTGGCAGACACATACCCAGTGATCACAGTGTCAAAGCAAGGATGTCCTATGTGATGTCAGAAAGGACATACACTCTGTGGGATTGCAACCCAATCACTGTAAGATATTGAATAAATATATACACTTCATGGGTACGTATTTCCAAAAATGTCACTTGCTATTTGGCAGAGCCTACACAAACCTCGACTCTATTGGAAATTAATACTGGGTGCCAATTTTAAAAGCTTGCTCTTCAACCCTCTTACACTAATGGATATAAAAGTACAAAACCTCCAGAGGGCACAAGCAGTTCAGTAGCGACTAGGGACAGATATCTGGAGTGAGCAGCTGCCCTGCCTGCCCCAGGGGCTCCTGTCATCCCCTCACTCCATGCAGATGCAGCCGCCCAGGGGGTCACAAGCCACCTCTGGCTGATGAGCAGCAGTACGCAGCTCCCAGGAGAGGGTTGTATTGCATCAGAGCGCACTCTGCGCAAATGAGACACAACAGTGAGCACATGGGCTTGGCAAGGAGGGGGTGGGGAAGAAGGTCACGCCACCTGGAACTCCAGCCACCCTGAAGAAAGGAAAACACATTATTCCCAGTTTACTACGGCATCATGTTCTGAAGCAGGTGTCAACGGATGCTTAAAATACAACCATTACGGTTCCATGTTAACATCAAACAGAGTATGTGGGAGAGAACCCAGTTCTGCCCCTCAAGCAATGACCAGAAGTGGGCTAGGACTGAATGAACAAAATCACATTCAGTTCTTTCTGAAGCCCAAGTGAGGCCGGTGAAAACTCCTTACAACAAATCCCAGGAAGACAGGAGACTTCTTACAAGTGAGTCTTCCATATCCTATTCCACTCAAGTCATAGACCTCAGGGTTGCTGTAAATGGAGTTTCACTGCAGCTGGTTGCTGAAAGCAACACTGTGCTCATGACTTACAGACAGCGCAAGTATGGATGTCAAGGCAGCCAGCTGTGACCAAAGCCAAGCGCTCAACCCCAAGCCTCTAACTGCTGTCTAATCTACACTGGCAGAGGCGGATGCTTCCAACTCCGGGCAGGAGGTTTGGGTTCAGGGTGAGACTTGTTGGTGCCGTGTACTGGCAGTCACTGCAGCTCAAGGTGTGGTGAGATGATGAGTGCATGTCTGAGCTGAGACAGTGAGCTCGCTTTACAAAGGAGAACTGCACTGACTCTTGGCCACAGTGCAGTACATGGAAGGACACAAGGCTGTGGGGCTGTGCACACCCATGAGGCCAGCCCACCAGCCTTCTGCAGTCTCCAGAACAGCCCTGGGACAGGGCTCGCGGCACTTTTGTCACAGACATTCCTCTCACCATCTCTCCACAACTGCTCCACCCAGTGTACATTAGACATAAAAAATTTAGGTCCCTACATGTAAGGCCAGAGTCTCCTCCTTGTTGCTGGCACTTAGATGGCAAACCTGTGTGGTTTTGGTATAAAATATGAAGTGTCCATACAGCTGTATCCAAAAAGAAACAGTTGCTGCACAGAGAATAAAAACCAACCAGCTGGAGGTTTTATAGAACAACTCCCCTTTGGAAAAGCACCCTCGGGCCAGGTTCCCGGGACCCACCGTCTCCCTCCAACAGCAGCAGTTGTGTACTCAGATTGGCAATTATGCTTCCACCAGGTACAATGGGAAATACCAGGAAAACTCTCAGAAGTTGTTAAAATATCACATAAAAGAGACAAGAACAGCAAGAAAACATCTAAGAAAAGCAGGCTGCGATACAACAAGCATTGGTTAAGAAAAGCTCAGTGTGCATTAGTTCTGGTGAGAGATATAGGAGCAGCAGCTCTTACGAGATGCGGAGCCCATTCTGTAACTATGGGCTGTCCATATACTGTCATACTCAGAGTCTTCCGAGAGGTCTGAGGGCTCCAAACGAGAAAGGCTACTGCGACGACCCAAGGAGTCTAGACTTGATTGGTCGTCATCAGCCAAGACGTGATTATGCATCAGGTCAGTGCCTTGCCATGCTAAGACGGGGAATGGAGTGACAGGTGCAACAGGCAGAGGTGGGATGAGGAGGGACGGACAGGAAGAGCCACAACCAAAACATGAAACAAAAGCAAAAGGTGACGGGAAGAGAAGGAAAAGAGAAAATATTGTTAAAAAATGGCAACAATGTATCTTTCTCCTTATTTATGGCTGGGTTTTATTAACAAACTTAGCACAACCTCAGAACAAAACTACATTAACCTAAATCACAATATTGCTTCAAATTGCTCCTTTTTAAAGAAAAAAAATATAAAGGCTATATCTACAAATTATGCTCATGTCCAAAAGATCATTCTAAACACTTGCAATTAATCAATTCTATTAACAAACAATCTCATTTAGAACATGATTTGTAAAACATACCCTTTATGTGGCTAATTAAAATGCATGTATTAAATGTAAGGTAATTTCAAAAGATGTGTGACTTTCTTATTTCTTTTCCAAGCTGTACACATCACCAGTGGGGTCTAAACTTACCTTATCAGTCTAACCACGTAGATGCTTCAAAGTGAAGAAAGGGGTCCTCGACCCTTCCACTATCTGCTCATAGGGCCCACCAGAGCTCAGCCCTCAGCACAGAGGAAGTGGGAAACTGAGTGTGTTCACAATGCTATCCCCGACACAGGCCCTTTATTGTCAGGAGGACAGGTGTAAGCTGGCAATGCCACTATGCTAAGAGGACAACAACAGAAGGTAATGGGAGTAAATGGGGGTGAGAGAGGAAACCCTACAAGAGGCTGGCAACCTCTCATTGCATGAACACGGCCAGGCCACCATCAGGACCTGCAGGGCCTGCCACCAGGGGAAGCCAGGCCATGGTAGTGAATGGCAAGTCACAGCCACCCAAGTGGCCTCTGCTCTAGACCACACATGAACTAAACCATAGCCCATTTCTTCCTCAAGATAGAAGTCAGTGCTAAAGACGCTTGGTCTACTGTCTTGTTGGTATTCAAATGAACAACAAACAAAGCTGAATTTTAGGTCAAATATATTATCTTTCTAAAAGGTGTTGTTTAGTAGGCATTTAATGCAGAAGAGCTTTCACTATGAAGCCATTCCCAAATGCCTTGATCAAGTATGCCACCTTTCTAGCACAAGCGAAGCATGTGTGTTACCACCACTGCCTGTGTCTCAGCAATGTCAGGTTTTGTCTGACTGGAACCTCTGAGGCCCCAGGATGAGACCCACAGCATCCACTGAAAACAAGTATCAGTCTAATGAGCAATGGTTATCTTGCAAGAGGCTCTGCACAAACTACAGGCCTCTCCTCTCGGGGGCCAGATGCAGGGAGCCGTAACTCATCACTGGGCTCTATAGGAGCACCAGGAGGAAACGTGGCCTGTGCCACAACTGACCTGGAGTGTTCACCTGATACTACCAGGCTCATGTTTCATTTCCATGAGCTGAAATTGATACAAAGAATTCTTAAAACCTCAGACTCCAAATCCACATTTATAGCCTATTGCTTAAAATGGCATCACTGTCAAACTATGAAACTACGACACGTCTAATTACAGAAATCTGTACTTAAATTACTGCTTGGCTGTACACATACATGTCTCTCACAGTGTGTCTTTCCACTCCTTTCCTACTCTGCTGAGCAGCTATGACAAACAGGTATTTTCCCCAGAAACAGTTAGGGATTACAAAAAAGAAGAGGACTTTAACTCTTGTCAAAAAGTCTTAATGTCGTAAGCAGAATATGGTGCAGTGCTGGAAGGTACTGGAAAGAGTAAAAAGAAACTTTTAGATCATCCCCTAATTCTACCTGAGATTTAACTTTTATTCCCTATTATCACAGCACAGGCACCTTGTAACCAAGGCTAATGTGGTTAGAGTCCTTGTCCCACCTTTACTGTGCTTTCCACATCAGTTTAAGGCAGGGTGTTGACACTGACTTGAACTGCTATCGTGCAGGTGATGAAAACACAGAGGAGGGACAAGGAGCCCGCCATAGTCAGGGTGGAGGGGAGGCAGGATGTGAAGCCACAGGCAACAGGTTTTATGCCAGAGCAACAGGTAAATCATCCAGCTCTCAAAACCAAACACAGAGACAGAGCAGGACAAGAAGACCACTGTGGGATTCGGTCTCGCCTAGCTGCACAGGTGGCGGGGTATGCTTTCTGAGTTGAGCACTATTCCTAACTGCTATCATCATGCTGTGCTCCCTTCCCAACCTATGGTGACATTTTCTTTAAAAGCCACCTGAAATCTACCAAATGAATCAATTAAATGATGAGATCTCTATCTTTTGGACAATCCTAAGGAGTTTAAAAAAATAACAACAACAAAAAAAAAACCCAACAGAGCAGCTGCCATGATTACACTGCCTCCCACTGTCCTCTGTGCCTCTTTCAGCAACTGGAGCTACTGGAACGCCAGTTGCTATCTGGAAAGTCACACCTCTTCAAGGGAGGGGGCCTGGACCGTTGCCCTGAACTGCCTCTGCTCAAGACCACCTTCACTGACAGCAGCTTAAGCCATGAGCCTGCTGCCTTCAGACTGGGCCTTGTTGCAAACAAGACAAGACAATCCCCATCACCCTAGCATGTTACCATGACACTTACTGGAGTTGAGCGTCTGCCGTGTTTTTGCGCTTGTGCAGTAAGCTTCGATGACTTTCAGAATCTGAGCATCTTCTTCCAGAGCAGCTGTGCCTGTCGAGAGACACAAACCATCACTATCTAACACCTGGTCAGCTTGCCAGAAACTGCCCAGGGGAGTGAAGTGGCACTGACTCAGCCAACTCAGCAACAGACATGATCCTCTTTATTTTCTTATCAGATAACTATTCTCTAAATATTTATGAGTAGGTATATTCAAAAGGACTTTTAGCTTTTTAAAAATATTTTTTATCTGCAACCAATCTGGCAAAGGGCTAACATTCTAGCTCTAGAAAGGTTATCCTATTAATCCATAATAAAAAGAGTATCTGCCACCCACAAAATGAAAACAGGGATGAGATGCGAATAAGTAATTCACAGAACAAGACAGGCAGTGAGAAAACATGTTCAATCTCCTAGGAAAAAAAAGAATCAGAGCCAGAATCCATTTTCACAGACCAGCCCAATGAATATGGAAGAAGACTGACACCCTCACAGCGGCATACACAGAGCGGAAGTGAAGCTCACCCGCTGCACAGAGCAAAGATAGGAACATTGTGGAAAGGTGATGATCACAGACACAGAGGGAATGCTGCCTCTGACCCACAAATCCTGGCTCTATCGAACTTCATCTAAGACATTCAGGAAGCTCCAGTCAGGCTGAAGATGCCCACGGAGCTCTCCCTCAGACCATGGGTTATCTGGACTCTGGCTTCATGTCAGCACCTCACAGCCACTGGTGCCCAGTAAAGATGACCCGTACAGGCAACCTGCTTATTTTCTATAGTTTCTCTTTTTCTGTTTCTTTCTTTCCTAAGAAATTATTTGGACATAGATTTTAAAAGGCTCACCTAGGGGCACCCTCTCTAGGGACACACTCCCCACAAACTCAGGGGGGCCCTACTCTCTCACTTCATACTTTTCTATCTCAATAAACTCTCCTGCAAAAAAAAAAAAAACGTAAAAAATAAAAACAAAAGGTTCACCTACTTTAATAAAAACTGTGAGAAGAACAGAGGGATAAAATGTTTATAGCTGTATAACAATTAAGACTCAATGTCTTTTTAAGAGAGTAAGTAAAACATATAAGCCAGATATGCACTACTAAACAATAAATTACAGCACCCAAAGTTAAAAAGCTGTTTTGAGAAAGCCTTCAACACTCCTTCAGAAGGGAGCAGGCAGACCCTGCAAGAGCTCTCTCCGAGCAGCAGAGATGGGGGTTGGGGGGTGGGGGTGGGGGGAGGCCTCTGGCTGCTCTAACCGCTCATTTCAGACGTGGGGTGAGCACAGACACAAAGGAAGAGAAAGCCACACAGCCAGAAGCACATGCCAGCTTCTCCGCCCTCACTCTGAGGGTAGACAGCACAGCTGTCGTGCAGTGTGGACTACTGCAGAGTAGAAATCCCAGGGTTCTAATGCAGTGAGTTACAACAACATAACCACGTTATTGAACCGTTAGTGATCAAGGTCTGTTAAGCACTCATCAGGCAGAAGGCACTGCTGACATGGGAACCACTTAAGTAATAGCCTGGCAGGCCCTTCTGTCTCTAACCCCCTGGGACTGCATGGCTGAAGACGCAAGCACTCTACTGCTTCTCCTCTAAGTTCTGAGAGTGTGCAACTTTTGCCCAGCCCAGATTTTCACCAGGGCATCAGAACCATGTGTCCATCCACTGCCTGGAGGTCAACTGTGAGGCCCCACCCCAGCAGCTCCTGTGTCTCTACACCAGGCCAGCCCTACCTGTGCTGCTCTTGCAGCACCCCTGGGTCACACAGCAGACAGCCTGCAAGTCACAACACCGGCACTGCTAACTGTTCCAGATAAGAAAGTCTGAGTGTATCCACCCATGCTAGGATGTCTGTCCACAGCATCCCTGGACAATGGCACCTGGCTGTGACAACCGCAATGTCTTCCGATGCTTCTACATGTCCTCTAGGGCAAATCTCACCCAGAGAACCACTGCTGTAGGTCCTGTCTTCATGGTGCCTCTGCAATCTATTTATATTCCACCCTGTCGTTCCCACTGTGGCCCCATGTCCCCAGCACTTCCCCCTCCTGCTTCTTGGCTACACCTCTGGCATTTGCTCTCAGCAAACAGGCAAGGCCTCTGCACAAGCTGGAGACAGGCATCTGACCACCCACCCATACTCCCAAGGCCACTTGGGCAAGCAGAGGTTCCTGCAGCTCCCTGAATATACTTCAGACCCCACCTGCAGTCTATAGCCAGGGCCTAGATGCCTTCACTCCAAGGCCATCCTTACTCCTACCTCCCTCTCCCAGCCTGCAGCACTGTCTGGACAGCACACCGAGAGCTCACTGTCAAGTTCCTAACTGTGTCATCTTCTAGAAGGGACTGCGTAGGTGTCTGATGATGACTGATGCGCTCACTTCACCCAGCCCAGCACCTAGCAGTGTGCTTCACATAGGCACTTGGCAGTGGCAGATATTTGCTGAAGCAGGGCCACCAGCCATGTCCTAGTCCATCCCTCATCCCCCATCTGTGGATAGGCAATGGCAGCTAGTGGAGTACGGGGGTCCCGGGGATGTGGGGGGGGCAGTGTGGGGGCAGGGACTGGTCTACTTCAAGAAGGTGGTCAGAGACCTTCACATGTGCAGCAGGAGTGGCTGGGATGGCAACCCATGGCACAGGCCCGCTGCATGAATGCCAGGTGGAGTGGTGAGGAACAGCACATGCTACGGAGCTGTTGGGGAGGACACTGCCTTGCTGGCCTTTACACACTAAGGATGAGAGGGAGGCACTCTGTGAGGTTCACAGTGACCATTCAGCGCAGGCTGGTCAGGTGCCACACATCAAAGCTGCTCTGCCAATCTTCCTCCACCCCCTATGCGATCCTAGTTACACTCAAGTTCTGACTAAAAAGTCTCTCCCATGATCCTTATTTAGAGTGAAAGGAGAAAGTGCTGAAAGCCAGGTGGGATCCTTGGGCTGAGGCCAAATACCACCTCTGGCTCCTCCAAGCCTGTAATATCTAAGTCTCCTAGGAAAGAGAACCAGAGTAAGGACATGGCTCTAGCACGTGAAGACAGGCCTACTGGGGAGGAGAAGGCTGCAGGAAACCCCAGCATCTCAGAAAGCATGGGATGACTATTTCATGGCCAAGCAGGGAACGGAAGAGCAGGTGAGACCTCCCCCAGTCTATAGCACAGTCTTGGTCCTGTCTCCCAGATGAGGCGGGGGCAGAACCAGGTGGGATATGACCTGCATAGTTTCACAAAGGAGAAGAACATGCAAGGGCTCCCCACTGCCACGCAGACACTTCCTGCTTGCCTGGCCACTACTTCTGCTTCTGCCTGAAGCCACTGGAAGGCTGCCGACCATCCCTCCATCCCCCAAGCACTGCGTGTGACAAGGAAACCACATTCCCCACCTGTACCAGGAGACTCACTTTTCCGCAAAGCAAACTCCTCATCCGAGGGCTTCCGTTCAGGTTTGCGCTTTGGCAGCAGCTTCTTCATGGTCTTGGGACTCTTACTAAGATCCTAAGGAAACACAAAGGACAGAGTCTGCTGACAAACTTCACTGCATCCAACTGCTGCAGCTTCCATTAGGTCCCTCAATTCACTCACACTTCAGTTTTCTTCTGCACCCACTAGATATTAACCAAAAACCAGCAGGGCATTTGTGTCATTAGTCACCGACTAATATTCTCAGGCTCTGATGAAAGGTGCCATGTTAACTCCATCGGATGCACCACTTTGTGAAGGCTCCCAGCAGATGTGCCTCAGCTGGTGAGAGAGAAAGGGCAGGTGGCCCATTTATACACTGCCAACACAGAAGGTGTGCAGGCCATCATCTGGAACAGAACCACCCCCACACACACCCGGTACAGCTGACTCAGGAGAGATAAGGAAAACACACTATTTTTAAAAGAAACAGGAGTAAAGTTCCTTTAGGGAAGTATGTGCAATCCTAAGTGAAGCAAGTGAGAAGCCTCAGGCTCTGAGCTGAACCTGGCGACAAGAGCTTGGAATCTGCTCTGCAGCTGGCCTACACCCCCAGATCAGAGCATGCATGGGGAAGAGGGAGTGGTACAGCCCACCTTCTTAGCACATCTATAAGTGACTGAAAGCAAAGCAGGGCGGGTGAGGGTCCACTGAGGAGCATTAGACAAGGATACAGAAAGAGACTGACTTCTGCCCCATTTCAGTTACACACTGAGAAAGTGAGGTGCACCAGACTGAAAGCATAGAAGAAACAAAGCTTGACTTTTAGTTACTTCTTAAAAACTTCTCTGCAAAAACAGACATTTAAAAAAATTCAGAAATGCAGTAGAAATGAGCTCCACAAAGAACACACAGAAACATATGGCCTCCCAATTCAGAGAGAACAGACATGAAGACTCCTGATACAGCAGTGCCCCCTGCCCAGAGGGTCCCTGCGCACACACTCAGGCACCACGATCCAGCTGCCCACACATCAACCTGGGCCCAGGCCCACAGGCTGAAAACAGCCCCCCAGGTGCTTCTTCTGCTGCTTTGTGACAACGGGCAGTGACCAGTACAGAAGCTGTGCTCCCATGGCTGGCCTGTTCACATGTACTTCAGTACCTCCTCCAGGCTTTTCTATTTTTGCCTAACAGTTTTACCCCAATTTCCATCCTCCGAAATTAAATCTCCACTAGTGCTTGTCTGTGACATAAACATTAAACTGGAAGACAAAGAACATTAATGTGACTAAAGCAATGTCTAACCTGGCACATGCGTTACAGCAAACTATCCAGGAGAAAAACAAAACCCACTAAGAGCAGAACAATGTCAGGCTTTCCTGTGCTGTAGGAAAGGAGGGAAGGGGTGTTGACAGCCCTGGTAAGGCAGCCCTCAGCTAGACCAGGAACTGGAGCCAGGCGACAGCACATCCCTCAGCTCACAGCTCCACTCACGCTCGTACTCACACGCTCACACTCATCCCACACCCGTGCTCACTCTCAATCTCACACACAGACACTCATCGCCATGTCAATCTCATATTCGTAATCTCACTACTCACGCTCACTACAATGCTCAGTTTCTTCAGGGGCAAGCAGGGCTAGATTAAAGCACAGGAGACTCTAACACCGCTTAGGGAGAGAAGGCATACTGCAAGGGCGCTCAGCATGCAGGACAAGTCAGGATTAGGATGGAGAGGAGGAAGGTGCACTGTGCCTTCTCATTGTCTCAAACCGCTGTCCTCATTTTACTGGTAAACAGCTTCAAGGCTCCTGGACAGATCCTGTGCAGGCATGGCTGCACTGTTAAGGGAAGCCTCTTGGCCTTCAAGTTCATGACCACCTCAGGCTCAGCACCTCCCCAGCTCTACCTGGTACATGGCCTCCCAGGCAAACATCAAGGCAGTCCTACCTGGAGGACAGACTGGTCTGTAGGCATATACGCCTGACAACAGGGTTGGGGCCTTTAGGCCCTTGCAGCAACCAGAAGGAAATGACAAGACTGAGGCAGACCCTGTCCGCAGTTCTGAAGGTAATCAGTATTTCTTTATGCCACACAGAAACAAGGGATTTTTCATTTCTAAATTCACTGAAATAAAAAACAGAACGACCAATCTCACGCGCCCAGGTTTCAAGGCATGCTCACTGTCGGTAGCGGTCCGACCGTGAGGCTGAAGGACCTCACCTCTTTGTAGCAGAGAGCAGCTGAGGGCCGGAGGGGAGGTGCAGGCCGCAGGCAGCTCAGGCTCCAAGGCTTGGGGGTCTTCGGAGGCTCCAGGGGTCCCCAACTGATGGTGGTATGTGGGGTGCCATGGTGGGAGGGGTGGGGGAGCGTGTGGTATGTGGGCGCCAGTGCCACAGGTTTGCTGTCCGCGTGCTTGCTGGATGGGGTGACAGGATGGGAAGGGAGCTGCCAGGCAGAGAGCAAGAAGAGCACAGACAGGTCATGAGACTGGCACAGTGGCTACAGAAGGACCCAATCGCATGTGCTTTGCCCCATGGTAGGATACAGACCCAGGGAAGAAAGCCCAGTAGCAGGTGGGCTGGGTGTGAGCTGCCACACCCTCCATTTTAGGTCACAGCCTGTTCAGGCTGAGAGCCAGAGACCAATTCCCCACAGGTCAAGCAGGAACATTTAGGAAAAGGCTCATCATATAGTATAAACATCAGCATTTCATAAAAGAACAGGCATTCCCTGACCAAAAGAACATGGTGATTAGGCAGACAGCAGTTCTCCCTACACATAAGATTTACCACCTGGGTCAGTTTTGTACTGAGAGAGAAGGGGAGAGGAGGGAAAAGCTTTCCCAGCAAAAATCAGCCAGGATCATTCTTGCTTTGGCACTTTCATGGTCACAGGGCAAAGTCCAGTTCCAATAGAGACCTATGAAGCCAAGAATAGGAACTATCTGACCCTTCACAGAAAATTGCTCGTCTGGAGTAAACAAGGTATTTTCTTGAAAAACTCAGCTCTAATGAAAACAAATTATTACAAATCTGATTTTCTCAGAGGTGTGTGTTATTAACAAGGTTTATATTCCTAGAAACCCCCAACATTCCATCACACTGATACTGAAATGGAAAATGAAAAAAAAAAAAAAACCTAACACTCAAAATGAACTTCTGGCCTCCAGTTGGCAGACAACAGTAAGGCATATCTAATGGGGAAGGCTGAGTGGTTCTGGGTGCCGAAACCTGGATAAGGTGATCATCCTAAAGGTGCCTGTGACACCTGAAACAAAGGCCAAAAGGGAGGCCCACTGGTGACCAACTCTACACTGTCCTGGAACAGAAGCCAAAGGCTCTCCAACCATGACGTTCTGGTCCCTGGGTATGGGGGAGGGGGGTTGGTGGGGGTGGGAGACCCACAGTATGCTGTTAAACACTATAAAGTGAGCTTTCTCGAGCTAAGTCACTTACAAATGGAACAGGGTGTATGAAACACCCTTTCTGGTAATTAATGTTTGACTCATTTGCCCTCACTTGAAAAAGTCGGCAGAGTGGCGCTCTATACTAAAATAATATAATTCAAACCAAACAAAACTGGATCCCAGGGTGAATGCATACAGAATCCCAGAGATGTGGAGCTCTGTAAACGCCGGTACTCGAGACACAGCACCTTAACCCCGCAGCGACCCCACACGCCCTGCTGAACGGCGTCACCTTCACATGACTTGAGAGAAAACAACGAGGTGCCAGGCCCAACCACACGACAAAGTCTGCCTGAGTGAACTTTATAAAGTCTAGTTTCGGGCTGTTACTGGCAATCTGAGTGAAAGACCGCTTGCTGTTCTGTATAAATACTCACGCACACATCGATGTCACTGGACAAACTCAGTTTTGTGAAAGCTGAGCACCTTCAGGAATTTTTCATTCAGACTGAAATACTGGCTAAAGCAAGCCAGGAGTTTTGATCTCCAACTGCTAAGAGAAATCACTAGACCAGGAAACAGGTAACAGCCTTCTGGAGCTAAAACTTCAGGGGGAAGGGTAGCAAATGGAAAATGCACGAGGTGGCAGGATCCCCTAAGAAAAACAATGACCCTTACATGAAGACTGATGAAGGGGAAAGTCAACAACACAGCAGAAACTATCCTAGCAGTCTAACAGAGCTGTGAGAAAAACTTACTAATGAAGTGCCTGTGTAATGGTAACTTATTTTTAAAGTTCTGCCCGGTGTCTCACTAGAGATGACAAATGTTAAAATAACTCAGCATTGGTTCTCAGTTATAAACAGCAGCATAGAGAGGGCTACTCTTTGATGTTATCTATTTGAGATGTTCTAGCTCTAAAATCCAAAGACCTACTGAGCTTTTTTATTAAGAGAAAAATAATTTCTTAAAATGAGTTAAAAATTCAATTTTAATGCCTTCAACATGAATCTGGTCATTTTCATCATTGTTATAATGATGTTATAATCTTTTCTTTTTTAATGAAACATCATCAATGCAGTTACAATTCTCAGAAAAACTACCTATGAACCAGTGGCTCCTGGATGTAGTGGGAAGAAACCACCCCCTCCCCCCAATTAATCTTCTGGAGTAGCTCTGAGCAGAGGCAGCATGCACCCACGCATCACTTACCCCACATGCACACACTGAGTGGCTCACTACCAGATTGGACTCAGGTCTCAAGACCACGCACACCAACAGACATCACTCCCCCATCCCGACAGTCTACGGAGGAGCCCAGGAGGAGAAGCATGAGACTCTTACTGTATGGGATGGCACAGAGTGGGGCTTGATGGTGGGGTTGCCCGTGGACGTGACCTTCGTCTGCCTCTGCAGGTGGTCCACCCATTCATGCAGATCCTGCTGGTTGTTGCAAGACACCAGTATCCGTTCAATCATGCTCCCTAGGATGAGCAAGAACCAGTTAAGTGGAAATACAGGTGAACACACACACACCTGGAAAAAAGACACACTTAAACATCACCCTGGAAACACACAAGCAAGATCTGCACACAAGACAAGCCTCCCCTCCCCGTGGTGCCAGACTCACACCAGCTTGCACCCATCACCTGATATTTCAAATGCATTTCTGTGGTTTTCACTGTCCTCCAGCTTTGTGATTGTCATTCCTGTCGTTGGCAGCTTTCCCTAAAAAAAGACACCGCCCCCCGCAAAAAGCACAATGAGTACTTTTCTAATAAAGGTGCTGCTATTAAAGTAAATTTTAACTGACTTTAGAAAGGGCAGAGGAAACTGTGTGCACCAAAAAGGTATTTATAACACAAAAAATACACCTTAAATAAAAAATCGTAATACCAAACTGAACTGCCAAAAAGGAACAAAACCGAGCAAGCCTTCCATCTGATTAGGTACTCTGAACATAAACGACAGGACACAAATGTCACACGTTATGACAAAACTAGAGTGTATAATAGCTGCTTCAAAGGACAGACACATTCATAGAATGTGTCAAAAAGACAGAGGGAGCTCCAAGTTTGAGAACAAAACCACTGGTAAGTTGAGGCACCAGGAATTGTGTAAGAGTGACACAAGAGTCGTCCACCAAACAGGAAAAAAAGTGGATCTCTGGGCTGATGTCACACAGTGCACAGGTCGCTGGTAATCCATCCTCTCTGCATATGGGAGGCCCTGTAACGGGGCAGAAAATGTCTGCTGAGAGATACCAGAAGGGAGATGCAGAACCCAACACAAACCAGCCTGCCCCAGTTCACATAAATCACAGGAACAGCTGCCAGCCTCAGGGAGGACCCCATCAGCACCTTGACAACAGTGCTTCCCAACAAGGTACGAGGGATCTGCCCCTACGGGACATGCAACAGTGTCACACCTAGCAGCTGCTCCTGACATCTGGAAGGCAGGGATCAGAGAAGCTACCAACACACTAACAGTGCATAGGCCAGATGCCCTCTCCCCACCTGAAGCTCAGGCAAAGAATCATCCTGTCCCAAACGCCAACACGACAAGACTGAGAAGCCCTGGCCTCTCATGGTGGAAGCATGACAGAAGGCGGCAGCCTGCCTAACACTTCTGTGGCCAAGTGTTAAAATACCTATGGGCAGTAAGGTCACGGAAGGGAGTGTGGTTATAGCATTTTGCAGATACACTTGGCCAAAGTGTGCAACTATGCTTGCTTCACCTGGTGCATCTTCCCACCAGTGTACAAAACAGAACCGTATCGGCTGCTGGGTCTGACACTCTCAAAGTCACTGAGAACTGAGCTGCCCTCAAAGCCATGATCCTCCCACCTCACCTCCCGAGTGCTGAGGTGATAGGCATGCATAACGTGCCTGGTTGTGAAGTCAAGAGTTCTAACTGTAGAAATGAATACTGATGACACACAAACCAGGGCTCACTGGACTCAGAGTCTTTCTGGAAACTACATCACCTCTGTGGGGGTGAGGACACCAGTGGCATGCCATCACAACATGTGAGTACCACTTCATAGGGGGACCTCGTCCCCGAAGGCTGGGCAAGGGTCTGTCTACAGCTAATGACACGAGGCTCTGGGCACCAAAGAAGAAGACAGAGAGCTGGTAGGAGAGGCCTCTGACCTGGCCTCATCAGGGCCAGTGACTCAGGAGCTGCCAGTCTGCCCATCAAAGCTACCCCATCCTCTCCTTGGGCAGCCTCACAAGCAAAGACCTTGTATTTCTGAGTCTGTCCACATATATCTCCTTTACCAATTTTACAATGCTCTTCTTAAGGTAAGTGGCAACAAGTCGTCCTGGTGGTGGGGGGATGGGGAGACAACCTTTTTGTGGAGGGGAACAGCCACATTTGCTTTCCACTTGGATTCTCTACTCCTTGCTGGGACAATACAAAACACCACACGCACCAGAGAAATGCCAGTCAGAAAAAACAAAGTGGCCATTCCACCATACTGGTATCTGGAGAGTGCCCTATCCTCAAGAAATGTCACTTCACAGAGAAAAAAAAAAAGACGAGACCTGTCAGGAGCACCTACCGGAACACAGAAGAAATGAGCTGCCCCACACCCCCAGAGAGGCAGGGTCAGGATAGCAACGCAAGAGAGCCCCTGCATGCTTTCTCAAAGAAACAGTGTAAGGACTAAAATCCATAACGTTAAATGGTCACGTTACAGGTGCCAATGCACTGAAGGTGCCTGCCATTAACGGTCATGACAGATCCTAGTCTCTGCCATCCCGCTGACCCACAGGACCTTGCCAGAGCTGTTCTGGCAGAACAATAAAACAAAACCCCAGAGAAGCACCATGCTTTGCAGAAGACAACATGGTCTGTGACACATTCTGATACACCACAGCAGTCTGCCCTTTCAAGGTGGCTCCACAAATTTATACTTCTTTTCCTATTTTCTGTTCAAAATTACACCAGAGTATTTTTACACAGTCACATGGAAATACCCAACAGGAGCCATGTGTCTGTATCTGAATACACAGTACTATACGTGTAGTATCATCAGACTATTTCCTGATATACAAATGCATCTCAGTAACCAAATGATTATTTAGTCACAGCGAAGAGATGCAGGCCAGGTTTTAAACAGCAGGACTGCCCAAATGGTAGGTTCTTCCCCATTTGAATGGCACTGATTATGAAGTGCAAAAATGCCAAAGTCTCAGTGACCAAACACCAATGTCTGTAGTATTAATTCAAAAGTTCAAAACCAGCCTCAAAATGGTTCTCATACCACCAAGAACCATAACGCATAAATTCAATGTGCTTTACCTGATAGATGAAACCACTCATCCTGGGACTGGCAGACAGCATTAGCAAAAGGTTGGGGAAGAGAAGAAGGTATCGTTCGTTCTTTTCCTAACATAAAAAACAAATCGAGATCATTTTTAAAACCACATCTACTTATAAATCATTAAATGGCATTTCCTGTTTTCCTATTTCTACCAAATTATATTAGTTTAACTAAACAGAAACAAAATTATGATTAATTCTGTCAAGAGAGCTTTAATCAACAGGGGAGGACCAAGAACTGCTAAATTTTTCAAAATAAAAGCGTAAGAAAGAAGCTGAAGGGTTAGAGGCTTCTAGACTCACAAATACCCGAGGAACAGCCTTGAACACTAACAAGCCTAGCTCCATTATTAACTGCTTTAATTCTAAGATTTCCTTTTCATGGTTCAGAGAAAAATAACTTAGAAAGTTTTCCTAAGGAACAAGGGGACAGATGGATCCTTCAAGTTAAGGGAAAGATAAAAGTGCTAATTAGATGTTGTTTTCATACATCCCATAAACTTCTCCTGGTTTACATAGAAGGCTTAAAAGCTTTACTTGTGTATTAAAAGTCATTCACTTCACTAATGTAACATAATCCAAAGAGACCACACCTACAGACGAGAATTCCTGAGCGTCTAGAAGATGACACGGGGACAGAGATCCCAGTCTTATCCCACAGGCTGTCAAAAGATGTGGGCTCAATAGTAGGAAGCCAGTCCCCCAAGCACACTCTTCACAACACTAGACCTGTACGAAGCATGGTGGTGCATGCCTACAATCACAACCACTCAGGAGGTGGAGGCAGTAGGACTGAGGTTTGAGGCCAGCTGGGGAAAGTTAGCAAGACCCTATCTCAAAAACAAAATGCAAACAAAAGGGCCTGGGGAGCATAGCTCCAATGATGGCAGAAAGCCACCTGCCCAGGAGTGGTGGGAACAACTGCTTTTGGAGTGACACCCATCAGTGTCATGGAGATCTAGCACCACAGCAAACATACTTCATCCTCAATGAAGCTTAAAAATCACATGCTTCAAACGATGCTTTAGGTCAATGTGGAAAATGAGGAAAGTCATCATTTCTGTGATTCCCTATATTGTAAGGCCTTAGGACACAGAAGGGTGACGTTTTAAAACTTCATCCCACTGTGAGTTTGTGTGGTTGTCTTATTGTCCTCAGAGCTGCGTGCGTGAGAATGCATCACTCGCACACTTCCACCAGGCTGATGATTACTTTTTGCAAAGGGAGAATGAAACTCAGTAAGGGATACCCACTGAGTGATCCAGCTCCCACAAATGTGAAATACATAGTCAGTTATCACTGTGTGGGGGATAGCACCAAGGGTCTAGCTTGATCTTTCACTTAACTGAACTCATAAACATGCTGTGACTCCCTAAGTAAATGCACATGGTACACATTAAAGAGAAAAGCACAGGCACTGAACACAGCAGCTTCACAAAGTGAACCTCGATGGGAAACCCTGGCTAGGCTGGCACATATGATTCTGTGGCAGACATCTATCTGCACGTGCTGGAGTCCTGTCTGGACACCACCCTCCAGTTCACATGGGCTCTGGACCAAGCTGCTCCTGGCTGCATCTGAACTGGTCACTCTAAGCCTCTCTGTGCCTGTCAAGGATGAAAAGCAGACCAGAACTACAATCTAATCCAGGACTCATCACCTCTGCGGGCACATGACATTCCCTTTGGATCACATATCACAAGACCTTAAAGAAGAGCACAGGCCATCATGGCACAGGTGGGCTGCAGTACCTCGCTTCCTGCACACTGAACCATGACCTGGGACATGTAAATAACATTGCCCAGGGTCTTAATGTCATCGCCCTCCCAGCTCCGGATGGCCTCTGTCAGGATCTGCAACTCAAGCTCTTTCCTTTTCCGTACTTCTTGACACTGGGCCTGCAAGACAGGACAATATTGTTCAGAGAGACAGGTTTCCAGAGTCTTAAATTTTCACCACATTGCTTTTTCTTAAGACAATGATTCCTTTGTATCTTACTTCAGACAGGTGATCTATCGATGATCTGCTTAACAGTGGAATTACAGGGCTTGCTTCAAAGTATGGAATCAAGCCAAAGAGGCAAAATGTACAACTTCTCCAGAAGTAATACTCTAGAAAAACTCTGCCACTCTTTGGAAAAGGTGTATGGCAACAAGAAAAATATTTTCATTCTGGTTTATTAGTCTGCCAACAGAGAAGACTGAGAAGAGGTAAAAGAGTAAGTAGAAATTGTGCTATAAATAAGACACAGCTGGCAAGACAACATAATACCATATTCCCCAAGGTATCACGGAGAATTCTGTGGATGGAGGTTAGGAAATTATTGAAATCCTTTCAACAATTTTAAAGGAACTACAGTATGGATCAGGCTGTCTCTCTTTCAATTTCAAATAATCATCACATCATCTGTCTGGTGTCCATAGGACACCATGGGGAATGTACTAGCCACAGAATGCTTTTTTTTTTTATTTTCATTGCTGTTTAATATCCCATAATATAATTATAAAAATTTATCTATCCACTTTACTACCATTGATAGGACTGGAATTATTTCAAGGAAAGGCTACAATAGCATCTTTTTTTTTTTTTTTTTGGTGGTTCTGGGGTTTGAACTCCGGGCCTCATCGAATGCTTTTTATTTCGTCTGGGCAAACACTGAACTCAAGTGTCAACTTTATCACCTAACTTTTTCAGCTGATAATTCTAAATACATTTGCCATGATAACATCTAAGGAAATAAAATGATAATATGCTTAACCACTTACTGAAAGGTTTTTGAAGGCAGTCATAGATTTTTGAATATCCTGTCTATCGGGATGATACTCCTTTGGATAAAACAAACACACGATTAGCTTTCATAAGAAAAGTTCTTAAAAAGGCACTCTCTATAGGCCACCCTGAAACCTTCCCAATATTTTTCAGCTCTTAACATGACCTTTCTTTACAACATTAAAGTGCTGGTTTCTCTCTTCTCTCTCTCCTCTCTCTCTCTCTCTCTCTCCTTTTTTTAAGGGAATCATGAAGCCAACGGACTTGGAGAAAAAATAATTTGGGGCAAAATAGGCAAGAGCAGAGGTCAGCAAACAATGCCTGTTCTGTAAACAAAGCTTCATCAGAACATGGCTGCAGCTCCATTTATAGGCTGTCTCTGACTGCTCTGCCCTAAATTGGCAGAACTGAGCTAAGCAGCTGTGAAGAAAGCCTGATGGCCCACCCAAACCCAGAGAATAAGTGAAATACAAATTTCTGCCAGGCCTTCAAAACGATGATAAACGTAATCATTACTCAAGTGACTCTGTTACTACTCTGACTGTTAACTTTGACACTTATTTGCAGCTCAATGTTCCTGGTGTGATACCCAACACTATAGGAAAATCCGTTTTCATTCTCTAGCTTTTGGGAACTGACTGGCACCAGTGGATGAGAGCAAGAAGGCAGAGAGGCAAATGCATTCTATCTTTAGAGCTGGGTAAGGAGAAAAACTTCAGAGTCAACACAGTCATTTTCAAACTCTGAGTAAACTGTGCTGGTTCTGGCTTCTAAAATAAACCACTTCTGTCAATCTCTCCATCAGGAGGTCTGACAACACTGTCACCATGCTGTGGATAGCGGCCAGGGACTCAGCGGGAGCGCAGCACCTCCATGTGTCGCTCCAGCTCCTTCAGCAGTGTGGGGTACTTGTCCAGGCGCATGAAGGGCTTGCTGAGGCCAGTGGTCAGCACGAGGATCCCAGGGCTGCTGGCACCTTTTGTCTCCATGAACTCCCCCAGGTCCTCACTGGGCAGCAGGGACAGGGCAGGAAAGAGAAGTGCAAGGTTAAGGATGAAGAGCATGATTCTGCTTCGCCAGCTAGAGCCAGGGCTCATGAAAACATGTTTCAGTCACACTGTGAAGGCTGCACTTCTATAACCAAACCTAGGCCCTCACATCCAAATAACGAGCATCAAGTCCAAATGCACCAAATGTACCCATGGCTGCTCTTACATAGAATACGCATTTCTGCCATCCTGTTATGCAGTAAATGAAGAGAGGAAACAGGGAAACTGAGGGCAAGACCAGAAATGATAGAAAGTTAAAAATCAGTTTTAAACTTCTAGTCCTCTCCCACAGTCATCCTCACTGCACTCATGTGATGTCTGAGTCCTCCATGTACATGCACACTGTCCCCGCCCTCAGAATTAAACAGGAATAACACAAGCAGGCGCCATGGGGACCAAGGTCTGTCACCAACACATGTGTGGCTGCTAATGCAGAACAGGTAGCAGTAAGGGGACTGCTGGGCCCAAGTTGGTTGTCCCCCAGGCTGGACGATCAATCCAAACATTAAGAACTCTGCTGCCCAGGGCTGGGAAAGAGGAGGCAACAGCTCGGGCAGCAAGTGTCCCGTCCTCAGTCAGCACGTCACATCGTGGAGACCAGAGGTCTCAACTCAAGTGACACCTGTGCCTGGGATCCCAAAGAACTTTCCATCCCAAGTCGAAGTTTTTCCCTAGAAGGAAGCGATGCCCCCCAATGTTACACTCGTGACTACTGAAGATAACCCAAAAGCCCTAACAAGGGAGTGGAGAGGAAGGTCATTCCCTGACCACATCTCACCAGGAACCACTGGCAACCTTCAGTTGCCAGTTCTGCCCAAGCTGCTCAGGTGCTCTGCCAGAGCCCTAGAACGCCGGCTCACTAGAGGTTGCAGGTGAGAACCACAGGAAGCTGACAGTTCAAGAATGGCAGGGTAGTGAGTTTCAGGTTCAACCTGAAACAAGTTAGTATGGGCGGTGTGATAACAAGAGTTGGTGGGGGCCCGCCCTCCCTACTGCATGCTCAGCCCTCTCACATCCCCCTGGCTAGGGCATCAAAGGGAAGGACGCTTTACTCAACCAAACCCGGACTGGGTGGAACAGAGGATGGTGAACCACTGGGAGCAAGCCTCACATTTCAGAAGCGTGGACACCTCTTTCAAGACCACTTCTACCCAAGCACCTCCTACCAGAAGCTGGGGGACCTCACTGAAAAAGGAGGTGGTGAGGGCATCCTTGTACTGCATTGCACCTGGTGACAGTGTGACTCACAGTACCTTTGGGCTGCCTATCCACACGTATGTACACATTTGACGCCAAAATTAAGGCAAATTATTTTAAAAGGAAGTCTCATGTAATTCTACTGATAAAAAGTTAACAGATACAACGAACCTTTCTCAATTCTATATAAAGTAGAGGCTCCATAATTACTTTATTCCTGCAGAAGCACCCATCATGACAATGCAATTCAAGGTTATAGCATAAAGATCGCCCAATGACATCCAGAAGTGCACGTGCACACTTGTGCGTGCTGTGTCCTCGTAGGCAACGCAACTCAACATATTTGTCCCTAATTCTGTGCTTTCTGCAAACTGTGTTCTCAAGAAATCACAGCCTTAAGCTTCCTGAAGTGGCACAGCGAGACCTGCAGGACCCTCTGTGGAGTGCAGTACTATGAACCCTGACATTAGTAACCACTGCTCGTAACTGCTCATCTCCTTCTATCATGTGCTCTGCTAGTCTCTAAAGAACGAGCAGAACACACAGGAGAAATTTCCATTTTACCAACTTTCCTCTGAAATGAACAATTTATCAGGCACAGCACCATAAAAGTCAGCCTTTATAATATTAAAAATACATTCCAACTCCTTTTAATATGATCTGTGCAGAGCCTTTTCCACCAAGATAAAAACCAAGGAAAAAAATCTGTTCACATTTTTATTGATATTTGAGGATTTAGTGGCAGAGAAAAATTAACAAAATTAAACAAGTTAAGTCCCTCACTACCTCTCCCCCCAAAATAATCCTAAAACTAAAAACCAAAGTAAAATCTCTACAAGGAAAAGTAGCTTCTATAGTGCCCACACAACATAATGACAATGCTAAAAAATGTCACAGCTAAGAAAGGAAACAGAACTGCATAAATCTCCATACAGCACAGTTGTACTTTGTAGTTTTTTAGTTCTATAAAAGTTACAGCTACTGTGACAAACAATGGCTCCTTCAGCATAATTTCTACTGATGCTAGCAGCTATTGATATGTCCTCTATGTTTGCTGTAATGACACTACGCACTACGAGACACAACAAAGGACACATTAAAAAGAACCATCGTGTCACCAAGCAAAAAGAAACTGCGGGGAAACAATCCTTTTCTTACAGATTAATTTATGAAACCCACTGCTCATTCAGAACAGAAGCCCACCATGAACACAGGGTGTCTCCTATAGTACGACGGTTGGAAAAGAGCCCAGGAGTTACAATCCTACAGAGCTGGTGACTCTGCTCAAATGCTGGCAAGACTCATACTCCAAAGCTGGGACGCCTCGGCGGCAGTGCACCTTCCTGGCATGGGCAAGGCCCTGGACATCCCAGCTCTGGGGAAGAGAAGAGGAGATTCACTCAGAATTCAAACTAAACAATAAAGCCAGGAGCTGTGTGCACGCGTGTGCATGCATGTGTGTGCATATGTGTAAGCAAGCCCTCTGCCACTGAGCTCATCCCAGTCCTGTGAGCGAGACTTAAGCTTCAACACACCATATTTACATCAATCCTCAAAAACAAGGCTCAAACATGAAAAGAGATGGGTCATCCAGTAGGTGTGGCAGCTTGGCGACATCACAGCTGCAGGTACAGTCCCAACGCTCAATATGAAGAGAGTGCTGAAAGACACTAGCAGGCATTAGAACCTGTTGCCTCAAAGCACCAACTTACACCTCAGGAAGGGTAGTGACCTGTGGGACACGGCTCAGCGGCCTCAAGAGAGCACACAAGCACCGCATCCCGCCGCCACCATGCCTCAGTCAAGGGACTCTGCTTTGAGGCTCAGTTTCCAGAGCCCCCTGCTCCAAGCTGCTGTCCAGAGCACAACCTCAGGCTCCCACCGCACCCTCCACAAGCCATGTTGAGCTGGTGCCCAGACACTCCTCACTCAAAGCCAAATCTGTGTTCTTCCTCTGGTTATTCTGAGAAAATGCTGTGCTCGCCTTGCAGACAGGGCCCAAACAGCCATTGGGGAATAGCAGACAAGGTGATAAACGGCACCAGCCCACACACATTCTCCTCAGGGTTTAATGCTTTAGGCCACTCTGACAGCCTCAGTGGCTTTAAATGTCCTCAATTTTTTTTTCATAGTTAAAATATTTAGATGCTTTGCCCAAGTCCGTCCACCCTGCTCTCTTTCTATAGTTTCAACCCTACCCTAGGAGGTCAGTCCCCTTCCCCACAATAGAAGGCAGGGGCAGAAAAACACAACAAAGATTTTACAATTTTTTTTTTTACATTTTACTTGCTTTTTGCATTTCTCCTCCACCACTCTATCAATAATGCCTGAAGACATATTTTTAGAGATACATACTTATTTTTCTTTTGTGGAAATTTTACCTAACTTGTAAGTTCTGGGATCAATGGTAGAGCACATAACTGAGTATAAGCGTCACATGTTAAAACACAGTATGTGGCTAACAAGGGCATCCCATCCCAGGAAGAAGGGCCAGGCCAGTGGGCATGAGGGCAGATTCCCCATATGGAATCCCCTTCTCTAGGACTGACTGCTCAGCACCCCAACCCCTTCCCTTAATCACTATCCAAGGCTGCTACTTTCATTTCAAGACTGCAGATGGATGGCTCAACACAAAAGGGTGTTGGAAAAACTGATTCTTTCATACTTGAGCACACTGAGAAAACAGCAATTTCACTTTTCTTAAGAAAACAAGACAACAGAACAATGAGCCCTAATCGTTGTCAGCCTGAAGTGATCCATTCGTGCGTACAGGCTAGGTTCAATGCTTACCATAAGCCTATGAGCAGGGACTTGAAGGAAAGGAGCTGGTGTACAGAAGCCCGCTAGGTCCTAGGGCCTGGTGGGCCAGGCCAGCTCACCAAAGTTGGTTGGTTGTTGCATTTTATAGTTTTAAGTTGAAACGTTTAGAGAAGCTGAGGTTAAACAGTGAAAGTAGAAACACGATGGTATTTGTCTTTGTGCTAATGAATACCTTTCCCATTTATGGGTTTGAAAAATTTTGAACAGGTTTTTGAAATAAACCATGAAATTTCTTCTAATACATTAATGAAAAATATTGTGCCCCTTTTAGAAGCAGAAACCGAGGCTCTGAGGTCCTGAAGTGTCTCCCTGTCACCTAGCACAAAGGCAACTCTCAATTCTCAGCAGTCACCAGTGATGGTAAGGACCTGACAGCCAAACAATTTCTTCTTTCAACTTGCAGAAAACAACACAGTCCTCATCAAATTCTCAACAAATGACATTCTGTGTTATGTTTTACTTTTGTCTTGGGTTGAAAAGCTCTAGAATTTCAACTGGTCTCCAATTCAGTAATTGGCCTACAAACCAAGTTCTCAGGGCACTGAGAACAGGGCACTGCCTGCAGCCTCCCTAACTCAGGCTGTCCTCCAGCTTTGCACCGCAGGAGAAATCTGATTCCCACCACCTCAAATGAGCTTGTGGATACTTCCCTACTCCTACAACCCTTCCACCAAAAGTCTAGGCAAAAGGGAGACATCAGAAGGACCCTTCCTTTTGCATACACACTAACCAGCATTCACTCTGAGGTCAATCAAAACCAAATGTTCAGTCAGTACCAAGAGTACTTCATGCAAAATCTGGAGGCAGAATTGTTCACCTTCCCTCCCACTCCAATGTCTCAGGGAACAAACCTGTGCTCGGTGAGGACGCTGACAGCAGATGGGTGGTTGGCACAGTACGCGAGGTACAGGGTCCTCATCTGCGGCATCAGGCTCAAGAAGCAGCCCCCAACTCTCTGCTGGGCCTCAGGAGACCTGGAGACAAGGCACAGAGGGAGACAACATCAGCTACAGGCACAGGAAGGTGCTGAGTGGAAAACACTCCAGACCTCCATCCGCACAGACCCTAGGCCCTTCTACTATTGCCCCCATCCAGCAGGTAGAGGACATGCCAGAGAGCAGCTCTGTTTCAGGCACCTTCTACAGCATCCAGACTGCTAGGAAGGACACGTGACACAGTGACCAACAAACAAAAATCCAAGTTCTTTTGGGCAGTGAGAAAAACAGATGTCACAATGCCTTAATTTCTGAATAAAATAAGGAGCATTACTAATCATGGTCACTTGGATGGCAAGTTTTTCCCACCCAAGTAGCATCAAGGCTGGCACAAGTACAAAGACCACCTTTCACTCTAGGCAACAGAGACTAGACACGGAACCTCTCCTTATCAACTCCATGCAGTAGCACTCGTTCAGAGGATCCTAAAGGCATAATCTCATGAGAACAAAAGGAACAAAGAACCAACTGGAGCCCACTGAAGAGGCTGAAAAGCAGAAGAATGACAATACCTTGGTGACTCAACCAGCTGGGGACCCCCACACACACACACACACTGTGGGCCACCCTAAGAGGTGGGAAACCTAGAGCACTCTGCCCATCTCTCTATACCTTGGGGTATCTGGGGTGGGGCACCTGTACTACCAATAGGGCTCCTGGGAGGATGCCACCCACCTCCCCTCACCCAGTGGGTCTTCAGATTCCCAGCACACTGATGGAAGGATGAGTTCCTGCTCCAAGAAATAGGACTCAAAAAAATATTAGCACCAGGGACTCCTCAACAAAACCAGAATCAACAATTTCCACTCATGGCCAGCACTTCCCAATTGTAAGACATGGAAGGAAGGACTGACAAAGACTTTTGCAAAAACCAAACAATCAGAAACTAACAAAGATAACAGAATCGGAAAAGGAGGCAAAAAGAAATGAGTTACTATCCAGAAAGTATGAAAATATCTGAAAGCCTTACAATTATTCCTGAGAAAAATGACAAAAAATACTGCATCTGAGAAAGAAAATGATTCCATAAGGACATTCACAATAAAAATTTTAAAACTTTTGATAATTAAAATAATGACAGCAGAACTGTGAGTAATGAGTTTAGAAAATGAGGAAAGACAGAGAAAAGTAAATGACCAGAAAAAGCCATCCCATACAAGGATAAAGTTTCCATATACGGAAACCAGAGACAGATAAGCACAAACAAATCAAAGGAACCACCACAAAGGTGATTGGAGCAGAAAGACCAAGAAAAACGAGCATCCAAACACAAAGAGTGTCCAAGTGCTGCACAGGAATGAAAACGGACCAAAGCTCGACATGGCATCCCTAAATCAAGACCTTTGCAACAGCACTACATGTTCTGTGGGAGAAACACAGCTTCACACAAAAAAACAGAGCCTGAGAAGCTGGAATGTTCCCCAACACCAGAGCCCAGATTCGACAAAGTGACAGCACAGTGGGCACAGTTCTGCCTCCACTGCAGTCCAGTTAGGCACAAGCCTGACCAATCACCTGCCCAGAGGATGCATGCAACCAAAACCAGGGAGCCAGGCAAACAGAAGGATAGAGCAAGGTCCAAGCCAGAGGAGTGTTGAGGACCTTGGCATGATGGTCCAGATCTGCCACTGGCAGGCAGCATCTATTCTTCTCTGCTGTTCCTTCAATAAGCACTCTGTGTCAGTTTTTACCTGCTGCTGTAACAAAATGCCTGAGCTCGGTGATTTAGAGATCCACCATTCATGGCTCTGGAGACTACGATCATGGTGTCTGGGGAGGGCCTGTCTCTACTCAAGATGGTGACCCACATCTGTGTTCCCAAACAGTGGAAGGGGGAAGGAACATTTATAATGATGCCATCATGAGGTTCTCTCCTCTCCTGCTGGCCCTATCTCCTACCATCTGATTGGCAATTAAGTCTCAACCTATGAATCTGGGGAACACCTATAGTTGCAGTGCACTGCAATTGCTAACTGTGCTACCCACCTGCGGTTAGGACCTCAGATCAGTAACCCCCGGGTTCCACCCCCAGCAAGTCCCCTCCAGATCCTGCACCCCAAGGGTGGATGAGAGTCCCACACTGTGAATTTCTGCCTCTCAATTAGGGTCATTTCTACCCTGAGGCTGCCAGGTGCTGGCTGGAGGAAGTCACCTAGTTGTTGCGCAGAATTGCCCTGATGGGGCTGTCCTGAAAAATCTCACGTTCAAAACATGGAACACTCAAAATTATGGTAACTTGGTCATCTCCCTGTTACTCAATAATCTTTATTCATTCATTCCTTATTGCTTACTAAGTGCCAAGGCTGTTCCTGATCAATTTGAGAACAAGTACTGATTAGTCAGTCCCAGACTGCTCCGAGATGACTGGGAGACAAGGAAGAAACACCATGGTAGTGGTTCTGAGCCCTTGGGTTCCTCTCTCCTAACTCCCAATGGCTCCTGTCAAAGCTGGTCTTCCCACTCCAACTGCATATAACATGCTGGCTCAAAAAAACAAAAACAAAAACAAAAAAAAAAAACCCCACCAGGCTTCAGAAAAGTGCTGCTAGTGCTAGACATTTGACTGACACACACTGGATGCAAAAAATCATCTCTTGCTTCTAAAAGCAGACAATATGTAACAGAAAACGTAAACAATGCAGAAAGGGGATGGGAGAAGCTTTATATAGATGACTGATCCCTGTAAAACGACCTGCCAGTGCACCTGAGTGACAGGAATGCTCCCTTCCCCGCTCTATTCTACACAGCACTGAAAACTCTCATGTTTTACTCCTCACAACCTTCCTTGATGATTGTCTGAACAGGTCACACAGCTGCAGAGCAGGAAAGGAAGCTCAAAGAGGCACAGTACAGGAGACAGGGCAAGGCCATGTTGAGCAGAACCAGGACATCCGCCCTGCCTGCTGTCTCTGCCAGGCTTCTCTGCCTCCCAATTTACCATCCACTAGACAGGAGCTATGTAAAGTTAACTAAAATGAAAACTGCCATTCCTCACCTAGAGCAACCTCAGATCAAAGGCTAAGCAGCCCCACATAGCTGGTGGCTGCAGCACTGGGGTGGCACAAGTCAGGACATGTCCACCAGTGCGAACACTGCTATTGCACGTCCCTGGACAGGCCACATACTTGTTGATGCAGGTCTCACTGAGTAGTAGACAGATGAGTAACTGAAGTAAAAGTAAGCTCACATGGCACTGCCAGCAGGCTGACATCCAGCATCAAGCACGTGGTGGGGCCTAACAGTCTTTGGGATCTGCCAGGTAGGTAGTTCTGCCTCCCTGCAGGACAGTCACTAACTCAACAAATTAACTTTATTCTGCACCATTTTAAGGCACTAGGAAGAGATTAATAACAGCTAAGAATAGTTTTTACCTTAAAAGTGAGTGTAATCACTTTGGAGAAGACAGAATATACATAAAAGTAAAGTGAACATGAGACAGAATGTGACCTCTGCATTCTGTGAGGGCTGCAGCCTGCGCAGGAGAAAGCTCTGGCACGTCCTGACGCAAAGGAGTACTGCTGGAGACAAATGCTTGGGCCGCTATCTCCAGGCCGAGTCAGCACTGCAATCTGACAGTGGTTGTGGTGCTGTCACCAAGTGGTCTGAGGGCTGCAGCAGTCTACCCCTCATGCCTACACAGCACCGTGTCAGCGAATGAGACACGGTGAATGATACTGAAATGCACTGCATCTGTGCAGGAAGACATAAAGAAATGCACGAAAGCTGCTGAATAGCCAAGGAGGGAGGGGAAGTACGGAAGAGTAATAAAAGGCTAATCTGATTAAAATGCAATATATTAAGAGGTAGAATGCCATGGTGAAGACGCTTTGAACAATGAGTTCACGCTCACATAATAAAATAAAGGAATGTAAAACAGGTCCTGTTAGCGGAAGGGCACAGTGGGATGGGCAGGATACATGGAGAAGGTAAAGGAGAGTGAATATAGTCGATGGACTTCATGATATACTTGTGTGAAAACAGAACACGGAAACCTGTTAAAATCACTTTAAGTAGCAGGGAGGAAGATGGGGAGAATGATGATGGGGATGAACGTAACCAAGGTACACTGTAAGCACGTATGGGAATGTCACCATGAAACCTCCTGTATAACTAATATATTAAAGATGTCTATTTTTAAAAAAAAGGTCAAGAATGATCCATGGTCCTTGCTAGGACCGGGTCCTTGAGAAGTATTTAAGACACTCTTTCCTACTAGTTCTGTCCAGGAGGCTGAGGAAAGCTCCCAGCCAGCACAACCAGGGTCAACAAGAGACTGAAATCAACACAAAGACCTAACTATATGCTGAGTGGGCCTCACTGGTCATTTATGACCATACAGGCAACCAACAGGCAGCTTTTGGAGATGACACTTCACAAGCAACTGCATGTCCGTGCTCATGGTGGGGACATAGCTGCTATGGTGCCTGGCTCCTTGCCTGTCAGTCTCCTGGCAAGTCTGCTCATGCTGCACCCAAAACAAGAACCACAATCAGCTCTTTCAAGCATCCAGCACACCCAGAAGGCAGCAGAGCTTGGGTTGTACCCTGGGGTACTCCATACTAGGACCCCTGACCCCTGTACTCAGGTTCAGTCCCCAACCCTTAGGACACTCTGCCGTGCTGGTCTGTGTGTGGCATGTGCTGCCATCACATCACCACCTGCACTCTTGTTTTCAGATCCAGAGACGTTGTGGCTCTCAACATGGCTCTGAAACCATGTTTCTGTGAAGTCAGCAGATGCTCAAGTGAGGACATTATGGGCAACGGCTATTAAAGGACCTCACTCAGGTGAGGTATGTAGCAGTCCAGGGCTGCCAAGGTTCAGTTCTGAAGCCACATTTACAGTCCAGACCATGTGGCCGTGACTCCTGAGCCCACCACCTTGAATCACCTTCTAAAGTGCGCACGAGACTCCCCAAGTCCTTCCCCAATGGCAGCCTGGCCTGTCCTGGCTACTTATCAAGGATGGTTTGTGCAAAGGCATGGGATGCTGGAACCACAACCCACTGACCCTGTCCAAAGTCACCCGGGCATGGGCTACTTGGATGTTCCAAACAGACGGCTTTCACACCAAATAGATTACATCCTCCAGTCTGGATTGTGCCTGGTCCAAACAGTGTTCACAAAAGTGCACTTATGCAAATCTTAAGATAAGCTTTAAATTAATTTCTCAACAAAATACACAGTGCTCGCTTAACTTGTTTAACAATTACATTAAATATGCGACTTTAAATAGTTTCCTCAATAAAATGAAGTTGTATCACAGTGTAAGGTAACCAGAGGAACTCAGCTTGTTGGTTAAGTAGGATTCAGCAGCAGGAGAGCAGGGAAGAAAACCACATTCTGTGAGCCAAGAAGGCTGAAGGGAGGCGAGCACACTGTGGAAGGACTCCAGCTGACCAGTCAAGCTTTGGAACTGAACATCTAAGTTTGCTGTTCTCAGGAGTAAAAATTCCCATGATTTTTACAGGTCGTATTCAAACATCTCAAGGAGCGGCTGGTGAAAACAGCACTGGGGACAAGTACATGGGAAAAAGGGTGTCATTTCAATGTCAGCTTTGGAGCATAGCATTGACTCCTGCAGAGAACTTCAGAGATGCACACAGCAGGGCTGGAGGGAAGACCCTATACCATGCATTCAACTGACTCTATCACCTTGAATCCCCTGGTTGAGTGCCACTCATCTTATAAGTCTGCACAATGAATTCCAAATCCTCCCCCAGACCTCGCAGAACCACCTGGAAGCCCATCCCATTAGGACAGTGGAACAAAGTCACAGTGAGAACCCAGGAGATGTGAATCAGGGCCAGGCTGTGGCAAGAACACCTGGCAGGGCCAACATAGAACCAGGAGTCTCGGCCGTAATTCAAGGTAGGAAGAGAAGAAGGAGTAAGGACAGGCCAGGAGTTCTGGAAGGGACTGACAGAGAGTAAAGGTAAGCACCAACAAGGGGAGAGAGGGGTGGCATGGACTCCTCTCATGTCCACTGAAGTCCACCGAGAACTCCACAAAAATATCCGGCAGTGCTAGAAACTAAGTCAAGAGTTGGGGTAAGGTCAGCCTCTTTTCAGAAAGGCTATTTCAGAGGCAAGAGTCACCAATGGGCCATGACACTTGGACCTGAAATGGTAGAGATTACGACACAGTACCTACATGGCAGACCCCAGCCTGCAGCAGGAGGCCAACAAAGAAAAAGAAGCACTATAGCTAAAAACAGGCCAAAGCACTGCAGTTCCAATCACCCCTCCCCTCCCCCTAAAAAAGCCATCATGTTTCAGCTTCCTTATCCCAAACAATTCCTCCCTGAACACATGGCCAGTTTCTCTGTCAGACCGAGGAGGTTTTGGTGCATGATCCAGCATCGCCCCTTCCAAGGCACTGACGAGCAAAATTAAAAATACATGCTGCTGCTCTCTACCATTCCAAATACAAGCCATGATGGTCTGAACTAGCTGATGGTTAAAAATAAGCTGTCTCCCATCCTGCTGTATCAAAATTAAAGTCCAGAATAATAAGCAAATTCATCAAGTCACTCGTGAAGTCCTTTAGCTCATGCTTGGCCTTCAGACTGACTCCCCGGCCAGTCAACTACCTGCCAAGATCTCTACCAAGAGCAAGGCAAAGAGAAGAGATGCACGGAGCAGAGGACACATGTCACCCTCCCATCCCAACTTCCCAGAGATATAGGCACTAATGAAATGTCCTACAGTCTGAGAGTGAAACCTCGAGAAGACTATGCCCAAGGCCTGAGAGGGCAGGGAGAAAAGACCTTCCTTTAGAGAAGGTCAGCAAGGCCAGCCCAGGCCTTCAAAGCCAGCTGGCTCAGTGTTGACATGTTACAATGGCTGGAGGAGGGGCACAAGGGCTGGGAGGCCAGAGAAGCCCAGAACAGGACTCCGGGTCACAAGCACCTGTCCAGGCTCAAGAGGGCCAGACACTGTGTGCTGCCCCTCCCGAGGACCTGCGAGTGTACGCAAAGCCAGCAAAGGAATGGAAGGCTGGGGAGGGCAGTTACAAACTCCCTCAGGACCCTGCCATGCCCCACCCAGGTCTCCTTCCATTTCCACTTCAAACCACACTCCAGGGCCATCCAACTGCACACCGCTGTCCCCAGAGCAAGATATAAACACCTCAAAATGCCTCAGGACTTTATCCCAAATCCTTTGCCTGCCTTCCTACAACAGTGCTACTAACATCCTTCTCAATCAACTTGACTCAAAAATCACATTTTTTAAACCTGTCACCAAACAGAAGCTGAAAACCATGACTACTTCAGCTTCAGCTAGTAAAAAATACATATGTCAACATTTCTCAAACATGCTGAGAAATTAAGTCTCTAGAGAAATAAATTCCTTCTTGTGCTCTACTGTCCATTTTCATCATCCATTTATATAAAAATTACAACACATTAGAATTCTATTAGTAAATGACTGAAGGTATAAAGACTAAGACACCATCTTGCCTCCAATCTCACAGCCTTGTGCACTAGCACCACAATGGTGCAACTTTTGCTGTAAGATAGGTGTGTACCTCCCCTACAGTCTTCCACGGATGGCAGCATTCTGTAAACTGATAGCCAGAAAATACGCTCTGCATCTGACAAGACTATTCATAAGCCTCTGAAACTTCACAATGAAAAGCGTCAATGTATGGAACAAGGAAGCAGAAAATGAGGGAGTAACCAAATGAGAGAGAAACATGAACATATGCACAAAAGCACCCAGCAGGCCAGCCCAGAACACTCAACAAGGACTAGTGGAGAGTCACAGCTACCCCAAGCAACATCATGTATGTAACAGCTTTACTGTAGAGCCCCTGGCACAGTGCTGGACTCTGGAGAACAGAGATGCTGGTGCCCCAGCTCTGTCTGGAGCTGCACAGAGATTCTCCAAGCTCTGGCATCTCCACTAGCCGCCAGCCTCGACTTTGGCATCTGTCCTTCACGAGGAGCTAGAGACTTAGTGTGCTTTGGATTCTCGAATTAGAAAACCACACCAAAATCAGTGACAGTAGATCTAGTGCAAGAATAAAAACATCCCAGAAGAGAACAACCTCTGAGGTTCTACTTTCAAAGTAAATGTAACTTGCTTTTCATCAAAATAAAATATAAACAAATGCCCAGCTTGTAAAGGGGTTTTATTTGAAAACGTGTTTGTAAAATACTGTTAGATTCAGAGAATTCACCTTCCTACACAAGCAGTTTTATAAACCACACTTCGGCATTCACAGGCCAGTACTACTGGTCTTGAAAGAAGTCTTTTTACAGAAAAAGTCTTTAAAATTGCAATGTAGTAGGTCTACAGTAAATCAGGTCTAAGGGATTCTCTGTCAAGTAACTGATGTTTTTAAGTAACAGCTGCATGTCAATTCAATCCTGAGTGAGCACGTGCTGCCTCATCTCGGCCTACAAACCATCCCACCACTAACAGTGCAGCCAGGCCTATTCCCAACTTGAGCAGGACACCTGACTAGCTGGTGGCTCCACATGAGGCCACAAAAGGGGAGTGGAAGGTAGAGAGAAGAGCAGCCAGGCCCTAGAGGAGCCTACTGGCAGGACACTGCCATGTAAAAGTGTCAGTCCGAGACACTCAGTGGAGAGCAGCGTTCTCAGAATCAACCAGCCCTTCCTACTGCATGGAGGGGAGACCACCTAGCTCTAACTCAGGAGTCTGCCAGCTTCTGTGGCCTTGGCTTTGGGCAAATCACTCCACTTCATAGTGCCCTGGCTTTATCTTTAAAAACCTCCCTCATTTAAAGAACAAAGAACAGCACCTGGATCACATTAAAACTCAGTAAATGGTAAGACTTGCAGAAGTGAATTAAACTCTGAACCCCCACAGTGCATCGCATGCATAAGGTGCATTATACTTCAGCTTCTTGTAGCCAGAACACACAACTGCAGTATGACCCTGGGGAAAACAGACTCCCTGTGCTCACGGGCACAGGGAGCTGAGCCACCTGTCATCTCCACAGAACACCTTCAAAGCACTACTTTTGTGAAGCCTTTCCCCATGCTGTAAGGATCTCTAGTATAAAAACTGGACAGTTGAAACTGTACCTTTTACTATAAAAGTTTACCTCCCAGAGGATTTAAAATAACCTAGTTTACATCCTTGGAAATGTGAATTCTGGGATTGTGTTGAACTTGACCGATTTGGATTTCACAAAATTTAGCATCTTACTTACTTGGTGCATTCTTCTAAAGACTGTACAAGCATTTGCTGGAAAGAACAGATTTCCTCTAGATTTCCCATTAAATATGAAGTGTTTGCTGAACTTAACCTAGAGCCAAGAAAAATAACAGTAAAAAAGTGTAAATGGTCTGACGACTCATATTCTCATTTCCCACCCCAAACCCTATTAAAGTCTTAACCTAACAAACACATTGCTATGTCTAAGGCGGAGTGGTATGCTGAGTTCCATCCATTACTTCAGCCTCTAATTGTCTGAAAATCTAAGAGACACCCTAAGGTGAGGACTAGCACCCAACTCCAACTTACTTCTCGCTGGTCTGCAATGGCCGCAGGTAGGTTGAAAGCACAGTCTGCAGCTCTTTAGAATATTCACTTTCTGTTTCTAAGATATTCTGTAGCACCTACAATAAATGATGAGTAAGTGTTACTTGACATTTCAAGTGTTATTTGACACCAAGATTCAAACTTTGACAAGATCGTCACCATCGTTCAACTCATATCTTTTTGCTTCTAAGTAATAAGAGTGTGTTTAATGTCATGATTCTTTGTGGTTACTTGGTAACCCCATGGGATGAATTGTCACTAAGGCCAGATACCTCACTTACTGCCAGCCTCACATGGCACATGTATGTGTAGAATGAATTAGAGCAAATTCCATCCTCAGACAAGCAAGGCCAAGTCTCTTTAGATAAAAAAGAGGAACCACTGATAGCCCCAACAGCACGGATGCACTGGTGAGTTCTGCAACACTATGTTGTGCGAATGTAGCCATCACAAAGTACAGTCTACATACCCGCTATTAAGTCCAAGAGCAGACAAAACAAACCTACCATGACAGAAATCAGAAAAGAGATGGAAAGTAGGCAGGAGACACGTTTCCAGGTAATAGGCTGTGTATTTGATATGGATGGTAGACAGAGGGAATACATTTAGCCAAGGTCATGGAATTGTACCTTTAAAATCTATGCATGTCAATATGCAAGTTAAACATCCCTAATCCCAAACCCCAAAACCCAAAGTGCAGCAAAATCTGACACTACTTGTGCCCTGACACAATGCTCAACAAGTTTCAGATTTTAGACCATTTCAAACTTCAGATTTTTGGACTACAAATGTTCAGACAGTACAGTCTATGCAAATATTCCAGAATTAAAAAAAAAAAACAAAAACCTCCAAAATCTGATACAGTTCCAGTCCTAAGCATTTTGGATAGAGATGATAATTACTATGTAAAATACATCTCACTACGAAAACTAAGATTAATTTCTGAGAATGACACTTTCATTAGAGAATATGATATTTAGATCAATCTACACGATACATCTACTAAAAATTAAAGGTCTATCAAAGCAAACAACCTTTAAATGGACACTACTTTTTTTAAAGTCAGAATAGTTATAAACTAATCTTATAATTAAAATGTTGATAACCTATATTAGTGTAGCAAATTTAGCCAAAATTGGATAACTCCTGACAGATAAATATAAAGTACAAATTAGCTGAGCCAAAATGAACGCTTCCCATTAGCAATTGCTGGCAGTAGACACCTTGCAGGGCAGGATGGGAAGATGCCAGATTTCCAACAAGGCCCCCGAGCCATGTGCAGCTCCGGGCACAATCCAAGCACTGATACCACACACCTGCCATCTTTCCTGGCACTGAGCTCCAATCCTTGCAAAAATGTTTCCTTTCAGACAGCTGGTGAGCAGCAGAGCCATAAAGTAACCCTGGATTTTCTGCCACCACCACAGGGCAGCCATGGGTACAACAGAGGAGCAGAAGTCAGAGACCCACAGGATCCCACATGGGAATGGAGGTCCCCTCCCCATCCTTTCCACCCTGCTCTGCTAGAGGGCCAGTGTTGTTTAACCAGAAAGTCATACCTACCTCCATGCACTAGGATGCACTACAAAACCAACAAACCATTCCAACTGATCACACAAACAGAATGTTCAGGAGAGATGAACACATCAAACGTGCTCAATCTTCTGCCTGTGACTTTTGACTATCTTAATACAGATTTAAGCAATGAAAGGAAAGCCACTGCTAAATCTAAACTCCAGCTTTAACAGACAGGACCTGATGACTCCTGTCCACTGCTGTCCCTGTGAGCCAAGTAGAGGGCACTCACTCACCAGGAAGCAAGACCTCATAAACAGCGGCCCACTCAACTGCCCAAGATGAAACGGCAGAGGCCCTTTCACTGCTGAAGCTAGCCTCGCCCCTGAATGGGTCTATTCATGGCGGCCAGAGCAGAAGAGGGAGGGGTCAGCCAGAGCAGGGAAAGACTGTGAAGGGAGTTCACTTCCTTGTGGAGAAACGTGGAATCTGAGCCCACGATGACAATGTCCTTCTAAGAAACAGGCACTGAACTCAAGCGTCAGAGGCCTGGCAGACAGAGGACACACTGTGTCCTCAGAGACTGTACTTTAAACCGTCAGACCCAATCCTCCAAAACTGGGAGAAGCAAACAACCAAAACCAGCCTTCAAAAAGAAAAAATAAGATATATCACAGACAGTTAAGAAAATGTTATAAGGAAGTAAGAAGGACAATTAGGTTTCATAGTTAAAAATACTGCCAGGCCCACCTGGCAAAACTGCTTAGCCCGTACTGGAAAACTTGCGCCCGTTTCTCCAGACAGGAAGCACCTCATGTGACAAGAGGAAGAGATCTGCTGGAGGGGGTGAGCAGAAGGTGAGATGTTTCCTCAACCTTGGCACTAAGCACAGAACACAGGGGTGAAAGCCTCCAGGAGGTACCAAAGACCCCTGTCCCAAAGCCAAACGCGCTAAACTGCTTAACTGTAACTACTCGTGTTTGCTAAAGACCGTTTCTGTAACACACCCACACATATGCCACACACACACACCCACACATGCCACACACACACACACACACACACACACACACACACACACACACACACACACACACACACACACACACACACACACACACACACACACCCTCCCTCCAGGCCTATGCCCTTCTTGCCCTCACAGCCTCACCCTTCCTGACCCAAGCATGTCAGTCACCTCTCCTTCCCTCCGTGCCTCGGGCACACCCTGGCTGCTGCAGGATCCCATGCAACTTCACAGTTCCTCACTGGCCAGCACTGCTCCATCACACCACAGCTGGGAACTGAGAAAGCAGCACAGTTTTTAGGGAGAAAGCAGCCTTTACAACCCACAATGCTGAAAGCCCAGAGAGCAGGGCTCAGCCAGCACAGGCTGTCCCTGAATCACGAGACAAAGAGCTGTCCAGTCACACAATGGTGCCACACAGGAAGGCGGGCAGCCTCAGCAGTCACACAGACATCCTACACTGTCAACCTCAAGGCAAAGCTGGAGGGCCTTACCCCAACGCAGACATGGAAGCTTACTTTATGAGCAGCGTCATTAAGAAGAATACTCACATCTGACTGTACAAGTGGGTCACAACTGTCACTGCAAATTCCAGCAGGTGTTACGTATTCTATACATCCTTTTAAAATATGTAACTGATTCACAGAGCCAGAGGTGCAGCTCGGTGGTAGACCACTTTCATAGCATGTGCAAGGCCCTGAGTTCCATCCCCAGTATCACAACAACAAAAAAAAACCAACTAAGAAATTTTTAAAATAACTGATTCATATGTAAGAAATAAAACTTTCTTTAGATTTCATCCAGATAAACATCATCATAAACTAACACCAAATATCTGTAACATAATCCTACTTTATAAACACAAGCAGAAAATTAAAAACTGGCACAACTACCCTGAACTTTCTTTCTCTCTACCAAAGCAGCCCTGCCTGCCATCAGCATGAAGAAAAACACTCATGTCTTCCTTTCAGTCCATTCTGTTTAAAGGTAGATGCTGCTTCCTTCTTTGACAAAAGAGCAAAGAGTTTTCCTGGGTCAGGACAAGTGCGCAGGAGTGCGATCCCTGAGTTAAGGTAGGAAGGAGTTCTACCAGCCACCTCGCACACCTCCCACCCCAGGTCGGATTCCCATTTGGAACCAGGAGGTCACTGCTTCACAGGGCAGCGTTTCCCACAATTGAGCAACTCAACACTTCATTCTCCAAACACTCAGCTTCTACCTGTGTCAGAATCCTGCTGCTAACCTAAACCCTCAACCTGCTCCATCCTGAACTATGTGAAACAAAGAAGTTTCGTAAGTAAGTAAGGAGCAAGAGCTGGGAAGCCGGCAGCACCCTACTGTGCACAGAAAACATGGTTAGGACATGAGACCGCTCCAGAGAGCTTTCCAGAGCCTCAGGGAATTAAATGCAAGCCTCTGGAGCTCTGCCAAGAATTAACTTGGTTTGATAATTAACTTGAACCACCTACAGCCCTGGCAGACTTCTGAGGCCACAGGATTTAAAAGGAATCTTGGCCAAATTGCAGGAAAGCAAAGTGAAAAGTCAAGGCTAAAAAGATGAAACAAATCCAGGGCTTAGGATTGGTGATGATGCACATGAGCCAGAAATTTCCAGACCCCAGTCTTAGCATCTCCGACTTGGCCAGCATGCAGAACTGCACAAAAGAAAAGACAGGCCTGGTGCTTCTCTCTAGAGCACAGGAGAGGTAAGGAGGAATCCAACGGGTTCTGACCAAAGACAGATTTTGCTTTGCACATTTGTAGATTAAAACTAGTAGCCAGGTGCTGGCTCATGCCTATAATCCTAGCTACTTGTGAGGCTGTGATCTGGAGAACCTTGGTTCAACACCAGCCTAGAAAAAATTTTCAAGGGATCCCTTCTCCAAAATAACCAGACCAAAACGGAGGTGTGGCTCAAGTGGTAAAAAGTCCTAAGTTCAAGGCCCGGTCCCACCAAAAAAAAAAAAAAGATAAAAACCTAGTGACCACTACTTGCCTCTCCTACCTGCAGTCCATCTAGGCAAAAACCACCATGCCTTCCCTCGGCATTAGGCATGAGGATAAGGATAGTCACTCCCTGTGCTGACGCAGGAGGATGCTAAGCGACACACTGACCATTGAGCATGGAAGGCCATAGGCCGTGTCTTCCCAGGCCCACAAACCTAAGCAACCTTGTCCTCTAGTGAAAAATGAGGACACAAGATGGTCACTCTCTGAGGTTAGCTTGGCTCAAAAGACCAAAAATCGTATGTTCTCCCTCATATGTGGACATTAGATCAAGGGCAAACACAACAAGGGGATTGGACTATAAGCACATGATAAAAGCGAGAGCACACAAGGGAGGGGTGAGGATAGGTAAGACACCTAAAAAACTAGCTAGCATTTGTTGCCCTTAATGCAGAGAAACTAAAGCAGATACCTTAAAGCAACTGAGGCCAATAGGAAAAGGGGACCAGGAACTAGAGAAAAGGTTAGATTAAAAAGAATTAACCTAGAAGGTAACACCCATGCACAGGAAATCAATGTGAGTCAATGCCCTGTATAGCTATCCTTATCTCAACCAGCAAAACCCCTTGTTCCTTCCTATTATTGCTTATACTCTCTCTACAACAAAATTAGAGATAAGGGCAAAATAGTTTCTGCTGGGTATTGAGTGGGGGAGCGGGAGGGGGTGGAGTGGGTGGTAAGGGAGGGGGTGGGGGCAGGGGGGAGAAATAAACCAAGCCTTGTATCCACATATGAATAATAAAAGAAAAATGAAAAAAAAAACAAAACAAAAAAAAAAAAAAAAAAAAAAAAAGATGGTCACTCTCCCCAGGGTGGGATACCCAAACCCTTCCGGGATCCAGATGGGGAAGATGCCTGTCACCATACTGCAAGTGTGTCCATCGAACTCAGGCAGGTCGAGTCAGGACAAAAACCTGTCTCCTGTGACTGCAAGATCAGGCCAGTGTGGCCACACATCTCACAGGCTGCCCTCAAAAGTGAGTGGAAGGTGTGGTAGCCTCAGTCACGCCTTTTTCTCCCAAAGCTTCTAAGTGCTCTTCCTGGCACCATGGAAACCTCCAAGAGCCCAGCGCTTTGCTAGGCACCTGAAGGTTAATGGAAAATCCTATTTACTACAAGGCCAAGGCCAGCATTAGCAAGTAAAGTCTCTGCTCAGGCAGTGAGAGGCCCACCTCCCAGCCACTCCACTGATAAGCCCCAAGGACAAATAAACCCAGAACCTGCATCTCTTCAGCTACACACCAAACACCCTGGTCTGAGCTGAGATGCTCTCAAAGGTGCACAGCACCCTGGTCTGAGCTCAGATATTCTCAAAGATGCACAGCACCCTGGTCTCAGCTGAGATGCTCTCAAAGGTACCTAGTGGTCAGCTGAGAGCACCACCCAGTGGAAGCCCAGAGCTTTCAGCCAGACTGTTCTGAGCAGTCTATTTTCTGCAAGTTGACAGTACTGAGGTGCAAGTCAGGGTCCAAATCAGTCAGATGAAGACTGGTAAGAGAAGGCAAAGGCCTAACAATGGAGGCAGAGGAAGAGAAAACCCACTGTGTCCCCACATCAACACATGAGCTTGACATGTGGAGACTCCTGTCATTTTTGTTCACTGTCAAGTTCCCAGAGACTTGGGCAGTGCTGGGCTCGGTGCAGGCTCCTAACGTGTTAAATGAGTAAACTTTCCACATGGCAAACTTGCTCTGTAACAAGATGTGGAAGCAGCGAGAAGGTTATATGCTCAGGTCTGAAAACACAGACCCACAGCCCAAGACTGTGGTAGAACTCATTCGTGTTCAAACCTGTCACCATTTTTCATCATTTCTTAATACAGATACAGACAGTGAAACACTCATGATAACAGGACCATGACTCTGAAACACCAGACAGTCACTATTACATCAGAAAATGCAAAGATCTGCAAGGGTTCATTTTTTTTTCATATTAAAAAAAAAGTGGAGGAAAATAACAAAATAAATGCACATTTTCTACAGATGTAAAAATAAACACACATGTTTAGAAAGTTTACTTTGCTGAGGTCATACCAGCAACTTGAATTTACCTAAATGAAGAGTATCTTTTTGTTTCTATAGTATATGCAATTGTCTAGGTACAAAGGTTTAGATTATACACATTATTACCAGAGATATTTTTTAACCTCACAAAACTCATCATGTTATGTTTCAAAATGCAACAAATTTTAGGACCCATAAACACCTGTCTTAACCATGCATAAATTCTAATGCTCCTCAAACTCCATACCACTTGATACCACACAGCAGTATGAAACTCCATACCATACAGCAGTCTCAAGAAAGACTCAAGACAGATACAGAATGAGCTACAAATCATACAGCCTGGCGTGTTTCAATCCACTCTCAATACTAATGTTAACAGCACTCAATGCACAGAAGACTGTTAAATCCCACTCTGCACCTTGCAAAATCTCATTGTTAAAGATTCGTAATGCTGAAAGGACACGATCGATCATAGTACTATGCTATGTGACAAGAGCACGGCAGGCTGGACACCAGTGGCTCTCACTGTAACCCCAGCTACTCGAGAAGCTGAGATCAGTAGGATCACAGTTCAAAGCCAGCCCGGACAAATAGTTCATGAGACCCTATCTCAAAAATACTTAACACAAAAAAGGGCTGGCAGAGTGGCTCAAGTGGTAGAGCACTTGCTTAGCACGTGTGAGGCCCTGAGTTCAAACCCCAGTACCACCCCCCTCAAAAAAGAAACCCAGTTCAAACAAAACCACGGTTATAAAAGTTCATGGAGGCCAGGAGACACTTGGAACAGCAATGCTGTCTGTGTCTCCGTGGAACTCGTAGATGGTTCTCACTCCTCCTTCATACTCTAGGCGGCTCACTTACAATCCACGTTGCCCAGTCTCAGAGACATTCAAGAAGCAAGAGCCACTTATGAAATGCCCTGCAGTCACTCACCACATTATAATAGCTCTTGTTGATGGCAGTCGTGTCAAACCCTTTAGGTGGACTCTTCAAGGCTCCTGACTTGGGGGACACAGGCTTCTCTGTAATAAGAACACAAGGAAGTTTTACTAAATCAATGGCAGAGATGACAAAATGCATGGCCTGCATACCACGGCTACTCACCTACCAGCCTCAGCTAAAATAACCAAGTCAGACAGGAAGGTGAGAAAAGGGCCTTGCACACCAGCTGCGTGCAAGAGAGCCAGCATCCCTCCTAAGAGTCAGCACATCCTTGACCCACCCTGCTCTCCCAGCTTGGGGTTGGAAAAGCTTAATAGATATGGTCCACAAGTGTCAGTTCAGCCACACATATAGTTTCACAGTGCCATGAACATAAAATATTATGCAAACAGACTTGGAGAAAACACTGAGATCCACAGTTCTGGACTGTATTTTAGAGACTCATGACACTCAGGATATGACTCAAGGCTTGCAGTAACCATCATACACAGAGATGGAAGGAAAAGAAAGGCAAACCCTCCTACCGAGGCCTCACACTTACAGAGGCAGGATTACTGCAAGGACTCAAGTGGTCAGAAAGGCACTGCTCTATCACATATCCATTCAACAGATACTCATGCAGCATGATGTACAAAGAAGTGGCTGCTAAACAAAACCCAGCTTGTGCACGTCTGCCCCTCACTCTATGGGGAAGTGGGTGTGTTGTGCATCATTGGTTTTAGGAGAGGAGTGGGCGTATGAGTCTACCAATGGTTCTATGAGCTCTATCTGTATCCATCAACAGTCCTATGGGTATCTGTCTGTCTATCAGTGGCGGGGTGCGGGCTGAGTGGGTATGTGTCTATCGCTGGTTTACGGGGTAGATGGGAATGTGGATATCACTGGTTCTAGGAGACTGCTGAGTGTGTGTGGCATATTTCAATGGTTATGTGGGCATCTGTCCATTTATCACTAGTTCTGGAGGAGGTGAGGAATACAAGCCTAACACTGGTTCTGTGGGTCTGTCCATCTGTCCAGCACTGGTTCTCCAGGGCTACCGGGCAAAGCTGCAAATCAGAGTTAATGTGGATGAAGGGAAAGAAGATGCTTTTTCACATTCTTTCCCAAGGAACTTTTATAAGCATTTCCTAGGGGAGTTGGTTTTCACACCATCCCCCTCATCCCTTAGCTCCCTGTAAGAATTCTGTTGTGTGAATCGTGGTTGCTGGATGGGGTCCTAGCCATCCTTCTGGTGTGTGAGTAGCACCTGTTCCAGTTTTCTTTTAGATCTCCTCTCTTCTCTGTCCACGACTCCCGTCTACCATCTCTCAGCACAGGGCTCTGAGTATTTCTCACACCCAATGCTCCCAGGCTGCAGGTCCTAAGGCCAATGGCTACTGGGCACTTCAGTGCCTCCTCATGCCTGAGACCAGCCCACAGAACTCACCACTCTGCCTCCATCACAGAAGGTTCCTGTGATGTCACCTGCCTAAATCTTCAGCAATGCCTCACCATCACGTTTTCCCAAATGGTGGAAAATAAAGTACAAAACAGAAGGTGTCAGTTCTAGTTGAAAGAATTCTGTCTATTCAGGACAGAAAACCAATCACTTCCAGACCATTTAAGTAACTCAAGCAGGAAACCCAATGTGTTCTTGCTAACTAAGAATTCAACTGTGAAGAGAAAACTATGAACTATTTTACACTGGAAGAAAAACAATGCTTTCCACCTTTAAAGTCTGCAATTCAGGGGTAGAATACAAAACAATGGTAGAGAGGAGATGGTGACCTAGCTCAGTCACCAGACCCTAAACCACACATGGAAACACATGCATCAACATGTGTGCCAGCAGTGAGCATGGAAACAGTGGCCTGAATCTGCTGCATTTTAAAAGCAACTAATTAGCAGATGTGGTCCTTTACTTAAAAACCTAAGATATAACTCACAAATCAGCTCCTACTTAATAAAATTCAATCAATTTACAATGAGAACTAGAAGAAAAACAAGTTTTCAAAAGAAATTTTAGTGCTTCATGCTTTGCAGTGCCTCTGTGAGCACATCCCCAACATACTTTGCTGCTACTTCTCAACAAGGGCTGGAAGGCCACAAATCCTTCTACCAAGCACCCACAGAGGGTCTGCTCCTACATGGAACCACCCAGCCTCAACCACTCCTCCCTAGAGGAAGAGACTCCACGAACAGCTTAGGCAGGCCTAACATGGGCAAGCCCCTGTCTACTGTGGGAACCCAACAGGCCGCTCCTCACTCCAGATGCAGAAGTCACATGTCAACTGGCTTAGACCACCAGTGTCTGAGCTCCAGGGATGTGGAGGGAACACATCATCAACAAAGCAGGGCAGGCAGCCCTGGGCAACTGCAGGGGCTTCTGGTAGCTTCTACCAAAAAACAGCATGGAAACGTAATAAAAAGGAGAGGAAGCTTTGGCCATTCGAGGCCGGAAAAATACATGTAGCCAGGAAATAGATGAAAAAATTTCCAACCTCCTTAGTGTCCTAAGAACCATTTTTGGCCCCTGTGATAGCTACAGCTCATTGCCACTTGCAGCTGCTCTGGTTAGGACGGCGAGAAAAAGGAATAGTCCCCCTCCTAGGGCTGCATGTTATAGTTGCTCTTCCCTTTCCTGCAAGAAACTCAAAAATTCAGGCAAAAAACAACAGAATGTAAAAGAGAAAGCAGGGGAAGCTCCAAAACATCAAAGTTTTGGGAACTCACAACACTCCCTGTGATGTGGGAGGTGAATTTATCACGGCCCCAGCAGGGCTGCAGCCAACACAGGGCGGCATAGCCCTGGTTCCAGCAGGGCAGGCAAAACAGGACCTCCTGTGACTGGCACAATGATACAAAGCAGCCAAGATGCTTCTGCCCACCACAGCGGCCTGGAAACTGCAAGGCAAGGTGTGGGTGCACAGGGCAAGGCACAGTTTACAGTCATGTGGCCCACACATGCCTAGTGCAAGACCCACCCAGATTTACAGAGAACAGGAAACTCTGGGAGTCCAAGGACACCAACATTCATCCTGGCTGTGGGAACACTTCCACAGGGCAGAGTACAGAAGGACAGCACCAAACAACATCCCCACCAAGAGTGAACCCATGAGGTGTACGCCCATGAAAACCGTACCCAGCGCGTACGTGAGTGTGACAGGGGGCCAGTGCCCAAAGGTAGAAAGAGTCGAGTCAAGTGACAGGACACAAGGAAGGCGGCCAACAGTGAATGGAGAAGCTCCATGAACATTAAGAACATGTGGGAACGAACGAGGCAAAACTTCTAAAAATAAGTAACATGGTCACTAAAATAAAAATCTCAGTGGACAGGTTGCCATCATAGGTGAAGAACAAATTCATGAGTGAAATTTCAAATTTGAGGAATGGATTCAGAACTATTGGAGTCCAGCAAAACAACAACAAAAACCTTTTAAAAATATGAAAAACATGAAAAACAATTAAAGCCACAGAGGGCACAACAGGACAAGAGACCACAGAGGGCACAACAGGACAAGAGATGAGTTTCAGGAGAAAACAAGTTGGGCAGACCTTTCCAGAACTAAGAAACGCTGTGTCCTCAGGCTGAGGACATCACCCAATAGGAAGGATCAGAGTCTACCCAGCAAGCAATAACCAGTGCCATGCTTCCCTGTCAGGCTCAAAGGAAGCCAAACTCAGGGCTTTCCGCTTCCAGCCTTCTCTATCAATGATAAAGAATTTCTGCTGATCCATGTCCTCCTCTGCCCCGTCCTGTTGGTAGGAGGCTACCTTCACCTTGATGAGTACTCACAGCCATGCCACTCCCCAAGGCCATGGCATGAGCACAGGTGCTGTCTCCAGCGCCCTCCTGCACCAGGACTGCCCTGGCTTGCCTGTCTACAGGGAAGGCTCTCTGCTATGGTGTACCCTCTGCCTACCTTTGCATCCCAGGCTCCTTCCAACTGCATTTCAGCTGTCTTCTTCCATGTCTTTCCAATTCTTTAAGGGAGCATTTGCAGAGAGTAACCCTTCCTGATCTGCTTCTGAAACTGTCACAGTTGTGCCACCGTGGCCTTTCCCTACTTCGGTATACGTAAAAGTACAGCGAACAACTACATATGTTCTCGTTTAGCTCCAAGGTCATCAGCACTGAGCTGACCCTGTCATATATCCTATTTTCTTTTCTGGAAGCATTACACAGCAGATCCCAGGAACGTCACCCATCGCTACTTCAGTGTCCACGCTGTCAGAGGGACCTTTTCTTTTTTGAAATCAAACTGCTAACATCAGGTCATTATCGCAGATGACAAAATCAACAACTTTTTCATCTTATCTAATCGCTAGACTAGTCAAGTTTCCTTGTTTGTCACAACAGTGACTTTTTTAGTCAGCTTATTTAGCTTATTCAGAGCACTGACTATTGTATCTCTAGTCTCTTTCATTCTGTACAAGTGCCCACAGAGCAGACAGCGCACAACTGCCTCCTTCCTCACATCAGTACCACTCAGGCCGCCTCAGCTGAGCTTCCTCAGCTTGGCTTCCCACTGATGTTTCTCTTCATCCTCACAAGTGGTTGCTCAAGAAAATACTTGTGAATGGATGCTAGTTTGGTTTCAGAACCAGACCCAGCTGCTAACAATCATAACAAAGCAATGTGGATCATGCAGCTGACCAGTGCTGAGTGAGGACAGACAGAGAACAGGATCCAGGTATGTCCTCATGTCACACAGCGGGGCGTGTCAAGACACAGCAGACAGGGGGGGTAAGGGGGGGGGGGCGGTGGGAAGGGGGGAGAAATGACCCAAACATTGTATGCAAATATGAATAAAAAAAAGACACAGCAGCCAAAGGCTGATGAGATATACATTAAGACTGAAGTATTACTCAGCACTCCCAGTAAAGAGAAGCAGCAAAACAGGAGCATGGAAACAGGCTTGGAAAGAGGAAAGGAGGGGAGAAGCCAAGGAGTCAGGAGTGTAAGCCAAAGGTCATGAACCAAAGCAGAAGTGTGGGCACACGAGGGGCTGGGGCTGTCCCACAGGAAGAGAGAAGAGAATGGACACTGTCCCAGGCAGGGCCTGGACTTGCGGGGACGTGCTTTGCATCACATAAGCTCTTCCCTCCTACTTGCTAGAGGACACATTTGTATGCCTTCAGCATAAATAAAAACAACACTTTATAAAAAGAACACATTTAATTCTGGAGTGCTAACAACTTCACCCCACACTGCTACACATACTCAGTCTTTGTGCTGTGCCCTCACTGTCACTGTCACTGCAGACCCAGTGTCCAGTCACACAAACCACTGCACACTGTGAGCCTGCATGAATGTTCACACCTAGTGCCAAGAAAGATGCCAAATCCTCTGACCCCTCATCCCTTTCGACAGAAAGCTGTTTCTTGCATGTGCCTCAGAGGTTCACAGCTTCCTATCTATGCTCTAACTAAAATAAAATTTTTTAAAAATCGATCTGAAATAATCCTCTGTATCCTGAGTGCTTTCAGAAAATAAGCACCACCTGCAAACAGGCACCTACCCAAACCCAGCCCACACTACAGCAGAGAAGGGATACAGCACAGGCATATGCTAGTGACACAGCAGACAAAAAGTTCTTTCACAACTACATTAATAACTGCGTCCAAAATTCAGCTGCATTTTGTCACTTTCTGGGAAAAGTAAGCAGGAAATATTAAAAAGTGACAAACTAAGGAGGATCTGTGGACCTCAATTTTAAGTTTGTACATGCATTGCCCAGCATGGGTTATGAATTATCAGCTCAAGAGCCAACCAGCTCCTGAATTAACATTTTAAAAATGCCTTTCCTGTACCACAGATGATGAGTTGTCCAGAAATGAGAGCACCAAAGTCCAAACACCAGAAATAATCATCTGGAAGAAGCTGGTGGAGACACACGCACGCACACATGAAGCGGGACTTGGAAGTAGACGAAGCTGCCACTGTTCAGCCCAGTGATGCCCATCTGGAATCACTGGGACCCATCACGCTGACCACACTACTCTCGTGCCTTTAATTTAATAGCGACAAGCAGCATCACTAACTCCCAGGACAGGCCTGCTGCCTCTCCCTCCTTGCCTGTGCAAGTTTTGTATTATGTGCTTTTATGTATGGAAGACATACATTCATTACCTGTACATACAAGAAAGTAGAAATGTGGGAGCTTTACAGTCTATGAAGATGCACAGAAAGCAAATGCTAACACCTATGCATCTTTCAGAAAACTGCTCATCAGTGGTGATGTACAGGGCTTATTTAGGAATAATATGCCACCAGAAATCAATAAAAGTTTTTGTTTTTGCAGTACTGGGTTTGAACTCAGGGCTTCATGCTTGCTAGGCAGGCAAACTACCAACTGAGCCACTCTGCCACCCCTTTTTGTGTTGGGTTATTTTCAAGATAGTCTCGAAAACTATTTGCACAGGCTGACTTTGAATTACAATCCTCCTGATCTCTGCCTCCTGAGTAGCTGGGATTACAGGCATGAGCCAACAGCACCTAGCTGTTTTGGTTTTGGTTTTTTGTTTTGTTTTTTGTTTTTTTGAGATGGTCTCACTGTGTAGTGGCCTTGAACTTGCGACCTTCCTTCCTCAGGCTTCTGAGTGCTAGGATTACAGGCATGAACAACCACACCTGGTCAATTAAAGATTCTTATTCCGAATACTAGAAGGTGTCTGTCTTCAAAGAGGAGCTATGTAAAACAAGAAGCCATACACAGGTCAAAAGCACAAATACACAACCGTGAAGCCGGAAAGAGCACTTCCAAGGCTCACCACAAGAGGGCACAATCGGTGGCCATTTAGACTCCCCAGGGAAGAGATGAATGGGACAAACTTTATCTGCAAATGAACAGCCTAAAGAATGCAACAAATTACAATGTTTACTTTAAGTTAATTTAGAAAAACAAGTCTATTCCAAAGTCAGAAAGTCGCATAAGCTAGTGAAAAATGTTATGCCAAAATCTAACTGTCCTAGAATTTTATCCTAAATTGCTATGAAGTGGCAGAATAAAAAATGTGCAGTTTTACCTCAACTGCCAGAATTTAAAATCAGATTGGCTTAACTTTTCTGACAATATATTCAGGTAAGTAGAGAACAGTGAGGGTAGAAAGTTACTCTCAAAAGGTTATTCCCTTGGTTCACTGTCAAAGAAAGAAACCAAGTAAACCAACTTAGTTCTCAGTTTAGCTCAAAAATTATGAATTCAACATGGCTCCTTGCAAATAATTTTTTTTGGTACTGGAAGTCAAACCCCTGGTTCTACACACATGAGGCAAGTGCTCTACCAGTGAGTTTCATCCCAAGCACCAACAATTCATCTTTGCTAACAAGGTATCATGAACACCATTGGAACTGGTCACATAAACACACACAGAAATAAAATACAAACACAAGAATTTCAGGTAGAACAGCTGACATGGTTGTTCCTGAGGAAGGGCAACACTTCTGCACACGTAATACTGGTCCTTCCTCGTTACTCTGCAGGTGCCAGCCTCAGGCCCCACGCCCTATGCCAAAAGTAGGGCCTCAAGAGTACCATGTGTAAGGCACACTCGTATGTGTGCATGCTGCAGAATGAATCACTACCAACAGACAACATGAAGAATGTTCAAACCTATTTGAAAATCACACTGGAAGTCACCTGCAGAGGACTCTGAGACCCCCGAACTATCCTCAGTGTCATTTCTTACCCTGGGTTAACTGAAAAATCCACAAGGAAAAATACCTGTAAAGAAAAAACTCCTTCATCTGTATTCCTACTATGGCAATTCAAAATGAGAAAGAATTTCCCTTCAAACTAGTAGTTAGTCCATATAAGAACTAAGGAAAGTCCTGGGACTTAGAAGGACCAGACTGAACCAACCTCTGCCTCCCGCCAGACAGGGCTCCATTCCAGTGATATACACACTAGCTCTGTGACACCCCCATCTACAAAGGTGGCAGTGAAGTCAGGCTTCCCCTCCCTGGCCCAGCAGCTCCTTCACCAGGCGTGCTGCATTCAAAGGGCCAGGACAAGGGGGTCCCCAACTGGGCAGGATGCCTGGCTAAGCCAGAGACTAAACCACAGCTCCATCCGTTAGCTGGTAGAGCGTCACTCTCTCGGCTGGTTCTACCCATGGACAGGCATCTTCCCAAAGGTTTTCATTTATTTGTTCCTAACCTCCTTAATATCTCAGTAATATTTGTCTTCTGCAGCTTGGTGAGCTCCGCAGTCACAGGTAAAAAACGACGTTCCTTATACAGTAGCCAGAGCATAATAAGCAACCAAGCAATCATGGCCAAGCTGATGCTAGGATAAAAATGAGAAGTACTGTTTTTAATGTGATTAATAACTGTAACACATAGCAACAATTACACACCACACCACACTCAACAGAACAGCAGCACCAAAAGGAACAGTAAGACAAGGACGTGGACAGACCAATAGCACTGCTGGTGGGGATGTGAAATGGTACAAAACTGGAAAGCAGGGCTGGGATGTAGCTTCAGTGGTAGACCATTTGCCTACCATGTGCAAGGCCCTGGGCTCAATCCCAGCACCTAAAAGAAACAATTAAAAAAAAAAAAAAAAAAAAAACTGGAAAGCAGCATGGGGCTCCAGTGAAAGCAACCCTAGAATCACCATCTGATCCACCAGTTCTACTCTGGGTACAGGTGGATGGCTGCTGACACTATGAAGGTTTGGCTTACAGTTTTTCTATTTTACAATGCTCTCTGTTTACCACTTTGCTCCATAATCATCTCTCCCTAGGCAGAATCAGAGGGATGATGTCATACAACTTCTTTTCAAACACTGGAGCAAGATGAAAAGAAAGTTACAGGATTGATGAACAAACCTACCCCTCCCCCTCGCTCCTACCCAGTCACTCTTCCCCTTTATGACCCTGTCTTTGACTTCTCTTACATCACAAAAGAGCACAATTCAAAAGCAAGGCATGCATAGGTTCAATCACAGCAGACTTTGCAAAGCCACCTGTCAACACTCAATATGGATCCATCCATGTGCACACCTGTGTCTGTGTCTCATGAACACCGAGCACACCTGCTCGGCACTGGCCTAGCAGACGTGAACAGCCACACCCTGGTGACAGGGATCAAACCACAAGCCTCAGGGAACTTTCAACTTCAAGACGTGAATCACAGCTAAGTAGTAATGAACCCTTTAAAGACCACTGTTCCCTTTCAAAAGAATACTAGCCTCTGATAGATCAGCCTTGAATATGTCAAAGAGTCACAGAAAACACAAGGAAAGTGATGCATTACAATACAGAAAACAGCAGAAATTAACCACCTTACATCATGGGCAACAGTACCCGTTAGTAATGAAAAACAAACACTGCCTGCATACCGCAAATCCCAAGCCTGACACTGGCCTAACAAGAGGATAAACTGTATCTTAACAGAAAAGCCTAACTGCAGCAATAAAAACCGCTGGCTGGGCACAGCAGCACCCCTGCAGTCCCAGCTCCTCGGGAGGTGGAGACAAGAGGATCACTTGGCTCAGCATCACAGCCTGGGCATCACAGCAAGACCGTAGCAAAATAAAATAAAGTAAAAATTAAAATAAAAGAAATTCTTCTCTTTGTATGTGGAAACTGTCATGGTAGAATGCAAAGCTTGTTTGTAACTATGAAGTCCTTTATCCTAGACCCCCGTGCAGAGGAAAAGTAAAAAGAAAACATCACCCAAGAGCAGGCCATCTCCCTAAGTTGGTCTGAAGAGTAAACCCTCAGGATGCTAAGGACATCTGTGTCCTTTGGTTCCTCCTCATCCAGAAGAAAGGGGGTGGGCCATGAGTCTTGGCTTAGCCACTTACCACTGGGCTTGATCTCCCGCACATAGTTGCTGGGGAACCAGCCAGTCCTGCCGTTGTGTGTGCCCTCCCACCAGCCTCCTTCTTCTACCCGTGTGACATGGATGACATCGCCTTTCGTGAAGGAGAGCTCATCTTCGTTGGTCTGCTGGAAATTAAACTTTGCTCGTACCACCAGCTGACTGTTGCTGTTATCGGTCATGTCCTGAAAGACAGGTGGAGGGACAATTACATCAAGCGCAGTCCACTTCATTATAAAGCGACTAAGTTACATCTTACTATTGTAAAGGCAGCCAAAACATGACTAGAATGCCCAGAACAGTCAAACAACAGGAAAATGTCTAAGAACCATGACCTTCCCATCTCCCAAGCCGCCCCCCCCTTGCCCACCACCAGCCACCAGCCTCCAGGGGAGACATCTCCATGTTTTAATGGCCTCATTCTGCCACTGCCACACCTGCACATACACAGAGTCACAGTGTCCACAGCATACTGTGGACATTTTCCAACCAGCAGTAGACAACAGTTAACTGTATAATACACTATATGACTGTATCATTATTTAATCAACCCTCTATTATGCATTTTTAGGTTATTTCTAGTATTTTTCTACATGGTAAATGGTTTTCTTCTTGTCTTGCAAAACAAGGCTGCGTTAAAAATCTGCACTTCCATCTGTGAAGGCATCTATTAATAAGGCCATATGTCAAAACCCCATCAGGGGCACAGTAACGTTTAAAACTCAACAGGTTTCTAAGCTGTCCTCAAAGACTCCACACACTTAACACCAAGCAACATGGCCACCCACAGAATCTCAGAGCCCTTACTTTGTCAAACTTTCACAAACCCTGAATAATGCCAAACATACTCATTTTTGCCACACTAATAAGACGAAAGGTACATACATTTTAAGTGGCATTCTTCTCAGACACTGCATAGTTTCACAGGCCTCCATCCAGCCGGGACTAGGTTCTGGAGAAACCTCATCCAAAAAGGGTGGACCCAAACACACACACACACACACACACACACACACACACACACACACACACTCTCTCTCTCTCTCTCACTCTCTCTCTCTCTCTCCCAGAGAAGCCTGCCCACCCAGGAAAGCAGTCTCAGGGGAGCCACCCGCAGGCCCACTATACCCACTCCAACCAGCAATGACCACAGTCCCACCCCTGTGCCTGCCCACTGCAGCAGGTGAGCCTAACCCACTTGTACCACCATGTCAACAGGGACTGGACAGAACGTACTGTGTCCACAGATAGCAGCAGGCATACCTATGTGGCACACTGGTGTCTCTTGGCCCTCTACCTGCCCACAGGGACAGAAGCCTGAAACAGAACCCACCCACTGTGACTGGCTCAACACTGAGGTTTATTTTCATGAGATCCATAAACTGACGCTCAAGAACCACAAATTCGCCTGCCTGTTTAGCTCATGTTCTGTTATGGAAAACTTCCAGCACAGGAAACCACCCATAAACCACCTTTGAACAGATATTTGACCATTCTTGTTTCACTGCAGATTATTTTCAAGAAAATTATTTCACAGTGCTATTAATAAACTACATTCAGAAAAACCTCAGGGCAAACAGTCGTCCTCACCTAGCATGTAAGAGAAGTGCCATGTCCCATGAAAGAAAAGTTGCCTCTCCAGGAACCCGTCAGCCATGAAAGACCACATGGGACAGAGAGCTGAAGACTTTTCATTCCCAATACCTCCCAATTCTTTTAACTCATGAAAAATTAACCCTGTACCAATTATGATCTCAGTAGCATTCACTACCAATCTGACATTTAACTTTATTTTACTTAAAATTATACATTTGCAATCCAGTCCTCATTTACTCAGTAAGGAAAGCATAAAAACTCAATGAAAATTGCTCTGGAACAAAGGCAAGACAGCAGGTGTTTTCTATTCAAAGTGTGCTGATTTCTTACATTCTCCTCACACACTTTCTAAAGCTAATCTGAAGCGGTTTGAGTAGTTCTTAATTAGTCCTGCAGCACTAAATCCTATCAACAGGGCTTGAAAATACCCAGAGCTCTGGTAGGAGGGTGGGGCTGGCGCAGGGGAACCACGGAACACAGGTGTCACGATACACGGTCAGACCGAGGGAGTGGAGCTTCTGAAAGCAAACACTGCACCGAGAATTAGCTTCACTCGAAATTCTCAAGAACACGAAAAGCCTGGACCCCTTCCATATTTCACCATTTTTATTACTGTTCCACTAAGTGCACTCAAGTATCTCCCTCTACAAACTACCACTCAATCAAAATTCACTTTTGTTTCTTGAGGATCTCCATTAACAGGCCTTCCAATTTCCTTCCTGAGTTAGAGCAGAAGGAAAGCCATGGTCCTCTTTAATCTCTCAAAGAAGTAGGTTCTCATTAGAGCCCAGTCAGTGTTTTATGTCTCAAGGGGGTGCACAAGAAGTCAAGCCTCTAACCTAGTCAAGACTGTCACCACCATCCGCTCAAAGAGGGTGGCTCCCACACTGCAGAGATGTGGCTCCCCAGACGCATCAGACCCCACACTTAACCTCTCCCTAATGTGAGTGCCAACGTCACCGTCCACCTGGGCTCCTTACTCATAGCCTGCATCCTGGGCATTTAGAAGCTGGATGACTAGTCACCTAAGTGCCAATCCTCATGTCCTAAGCACTGGTGGCAAGCTCCTCCTGGTGAACTTCCTCCCAAGTCAGGAAGGCTCCAAAGGATGCTTTAACTAGAGGAAAAGGCCACCTTCAGAATCTTCAACTCTCCCGTCTCTTCTCTGTATGGCTCAGTGTTCCACATATATACTGTGCATCCTATACTTCTGTACACTGCATATGTCAGGTAAGAAAGCATTACAGCAGGGAATGATGTCCAAGCATGCATCTCTCTAGACAACCATAATTATAAGTTTTTAATATAATCTCAAATAAACAAGTTTTTCAAAAGCACCGATTCAGAACAGTATCTGGAGGATCTGATGGGCAAATGCCAAACACAGCAGCCTCAGAGAAGATCAGGCCACTTCTGGCTATTTAACGCTGTCAGTAGATTACAATCATCCCTCTAGACACAACTGTAGACTCTCATATCCCACAAAGCCCCTCATACTTACCAAACTTCGGTACTGGCCCTGGAACAATTTTGAAGTCCGACTGTGAGAAGACTGGGATCCCAGGGAATCAAAAGACTTTATTCGATGCGAGGAGGGCCGAGCACACACGGAATCACTTCCTAGTCCGATGTCTGAAAAGGTCATGCACACAGAAAGAGAAAGCGCTGAAAATGCCTGACACCACACACCCTCACACACACTGACGCTAAAACTGGGCCAGCATGGAGGGCCACACCAAAAGACCACAACAAAGCAGGCCATTTACACAGTAAACAAAGAGCAGATTCTTTCCTCATAAAAGACTTGCATTAATTCCCCAATTACCTCTCCAGAAACTGTCTGCAATGACTACTTATCGTTCTTCTCTAGTATAATTTTTCAAAAGTTGGTAAAATGTTTTATTACGTTTTCATACCTCCCCTTCACCTGAAAAAGGAACCCTCTCAAATTCAACCCAGCAGAACAGCATGTGCTCACTCTCCATTGTGGCACCATACTGCCCACTTCTCCACAACTACTGGAACAAAAGGAAAAGACTCTTGTTCAAGACCAACAGAAAACCCTTGTGTAATTTCACCCAGAGACCCTTCTGAGTATTATTTCCTCCAGGGGAAGCTGCGCACAGCTAAGGAACAAAGCAAGCAGGCAGTAAGGGCTTAGCTCTATTCCCTGGATTCCCTCACCACAGGCCAAACAACGAGTAAATATTACCAGCCCATGTCTTAAGAGTGGTCTTAAAAAAGAGGAAAAGAGGGGTTGGGGATTTAGCAGAGTGGAAGAGCGCTTGCCTGGCAAGTGCAAGGCCCTGAGTTCAGTCCCCAGCACCAAAAAAAGGGAAAAAAAAAAAAAGCAAAACAAAAATGAAAAGAGGAAAAGAAAGAAAAAGAAAAATGAGGGTGTGAAAGCTTTCCAGGGCAACCAGTGTTTGAGATTCCAAGTGCCTTGCCAATGTCCCAAAGCTATGTGGAGGCCATCCACAAAAGCACCCCAGACCAGCATCTCTAGATCCTGCTCCTCTGGCGGACCCATCTGGATCCATTCACATGCTCGCCAATGAGACCCTAAGTTAGATGTCGATTTCTAAAAGTCTGGACAAAGCCGAGAAATCCAGAGTTGCAGATGCTCTTGATGCACCTAGACTCTTGATGCACCTAGGCAACATGCAGCCTGCCTAGGCTGGGCCAGACCACCCAGGAGCCCAGGGTGCCCCTTCCATCCAGTCCTTCCTTGACACTGCTGCAGGCTCCACAGCCAGGGGAGTGCAGAACCCTGTCCTGAAACACTCTGGCCATCCCAGGAGCCACCTCTCAGAGGTGCCCTATACTTCTAACACCCTGCATAGGGGTGGGGCTGTCTCCACAGAGCATCTTCCACTTCGAAGATGCCATGAGCCACCCCAAGGACAACATCAGCCACAGACGTCAGCATTTCCTGCAGACCTGCCCAAGAAGCTGCCTGTCTAGCCCTGCCCTTTGAGGGAATTCTCAGTATAAGCAAGGCCTCTTGAGACCCCTGCCTCTCCAAATCAGCTCTTTTGTCCAGCTAAAAGGCAAATGTTCATCTAAATGTCTTGAAAACACACATGGTTGGTTGGTTTGTTTGAGACAGGGTCTCAATATGCAGCCCAGGCTGGCCCTGAACAAGCAATCCTTCTGCCTCTGCCTCCTGAGTGACAGATTACAAGTGTGTGTCACAACACCTGGCTACTCATGATTTTCTTTAAGTGACAGGAGCAGAGGTAAAATAATGCCAGAATTTTCCCAAAAATACAGCAGCTGCTACTGTCCTACTGTGCAGGCAATGACTTTGAGTTGAGAACTAAGAGGATACAGTCACTTCCACCACAATGACTTCAAAACCAGAAACTACCAGAAAGGAGCCAACAAAGGGAAAAGCACAAGAAAAACACTTTCCATCTAGGAGGGGTCACTAATACTATTTAAAAGCGGAAAAATTAAGTCTATCTCTTAGTTTCCAAATATGACTTTGTAAGGAAAACACTACATCCATCTAGTGGGTAGCCAATGACATAGGAATACATGACAAGCTGGGTGTGGCAGTACACTTCTGTAATCCCTGCACTCACTATTTGGAGGTAGAAGGATCATTTGATTAAGGCCAATCTGGGCAACATAGCAAAACCTTATCTAAAAACTAGCAATAAAAAAGTAAAACAGGATAGAAAAAAAAGGAATACACAAGAAATATTTTGCATGTGATGGGGAGAAAACGAAGGTGGCAGGTGCCCAAGAGCCATTGGTCCCAGTTTCTTGCTATCTCCCTCATTTACCTGAAAATGACAGTGCCTCAAACCTGGACTGACAACGGGCACAGGACTGAATGAGCCTGGACCCTCTGCAGCATGCAGGCAGAGACGGTCTCCACGGTGACTCAGATTAAGGACTCTTATAGATGTTATTTATCTAGGCTATGCCTATCCCTGCCTGCCACAGATCTACACTAATTCTGAGGTGATCATTTAAAACTTCAAGGCAACAACGAACAGTCATGTGTCACTTCACGATGGGGCTATGCTCTGAAGACTGCACCTTCAGGAAGGAGCCTTTGTCAGGGGCACACATCAGGATACACTGACACAGACCTACGTGGTACGACCTTGGGAACACCTATACGCTGCAGTGCACACGCAGTCCAATACTGAGACTGTATCTAAGGAAGGAGCCGAGGAACAGACACGTGCCACACTCTGAGCACATCTCACACAGTCTTTCTTGTATTCAGTCCCACTAAGCCATCCCAAAGAACTTCCCTTTCCATATCATCCACAGCTTGAGGTACTTGACTGTCTTCCTTACTGCCTGTTGGCTCACATTAAAGCTACCATTCCACAACAAAGAAACAGTGAAGGTAACAGCTGTCTAATCACTCACACAAAAATGCCCTCAACGCTCACCTGCAAAACATCGCTGAACAGCATGGTAGCTTGAACAATTCACATCCATCTCTGCATTTCTATCCTTTGCAATTCGTGTCCTAGATGCTTTCTCCTAAAAAGTCCTAAGAGATGTGCAACTCTAACCCTAAGTAAGGCTATGAAGGATGCAGCCATATTTCAGGTGACACCCTACTCTGGGAGAATCCTAGCAGGCCTCAGCTCTCCTATAGAACCTGGGCCCAGACAAAGGGAAACTTCCAGGCAGCAACCAGAGCAAGTGTGGTCTAGAAAGTGATCAGGAGGCCAGTCCATGGGCACAGAGCGGCCTCCGAGCACCAGGAACTGCATTCCAAGTGCTCATGACCCCACAATGACAGCAGCAAAAGGAACAACTGAGCATGCAATGTCAGTGAAGATTATTTCATAAGTTTAATAATGGTCATTCTCCCTTGCTAACAAAAACCAAAGGTTTTAGGCCCTTAGTCCTCCCACCCTCTCAAATTTAATAAAAAGAGTCTTACCTGCTGTTACTTTATTTAGGGTCACTAAGGAACTGAGGACCTTGTTAAAATTCTGTCCCTGATACAAATCATTTGCATCAAACGTCTGAAAGGCAAAAATTAAACAAGGAAAATTAGTACTGAGTCACACATTGGGCACAGGATAAACGAAGTTTCTCCCAGCAACAACAGGGTGCCTGTGATCAGGATGCTTGGTTTGAAAGCCCCAAGAGGAAGAATGACATACGAGAACAGGACCTTGGCAAAGGAGTGCAGTTGGGTCCCTCACAAGGCAACCCTGTGAGGCCAGTCTAAGCTCTTGGATGAGGACCAGCTGCCTACCCACCAGTCCCCAACCCTCCTCCCTCCTCCACCCAGGGTGTGAGCATATCCACAAGGCAGGGGCTGCTTGGCTGCCAGGGCTCAGTAAAGGCTCAGTGGTGGTTTACAATCTTCTCTCCTTACATTACACACAGGCCACAGGGCAAGACATGCTAGAGATGTTCTTTCCTGCTACAGAAAAGAAGGAAAAATGCAGCTGATTACAAAGCCAACAGCAGCAAAAGGAACACACAGACGTGAGAACACAGTGAGTGGTAAGAGTACAGCAGGGAATACAGAGACAATCCCAGAGGAGGGACAAGGTGGGGTATGACTCTGGAGATCCAGGACTGTCTGCGAACCCTCCAATCCAGAGCTGTCTAGCAACCTGGGACCCTGAGCAGGTCAGTCACACTGCAGGGACAGGTATTTCCACTACCTCCTGGGGCTGGGAGAGATGGCGTGCAAGCTCGCCTGGATTGCAGACAGCTGGAGTGTTGCATGTGTTGTATGGATGACAACCTGTGTGACGGTGGCAGGGAGACAGAGCAGATCTCCTGGACATGAACAAGTGGAGTCTGCAGGGAGCATGTCAGAGTGCAGAAGAGGTTCTGACAGGATGTGTGTGCACGTACACAGACATGCTGAAGTACACCCAGCTCTTTACAAATACTGTTTAAAGATGTCATTTTTGATCAGTAAATAATTTTAGTAATCCAATCACCTACCACTCTAGTCTAGAAAAATTGGGAAAAAAAATCTCAGAAGTACAAGTAACAGAAAAATATATCCAGATACCAAAATACATAACACACTTTCTCTCCTTGAGAGACAAAAGAATGGCACCTCCCCCTCCTCCTAGGCCAGCCTCTCCCTCTCAAAGCTTCTTGCAGACTCTGCCAGGAACTCCCTTCTCCTCCTCTTCCTGCCTCCCACCCCACCTCCTTCCTGGCTCAGTCTTACTCATCTTACTTCCTGAAGGAGCCCTGCCTGAACAGCACACTGACCCCCTAGACAGCCCCTCGGCACATTTGTCACAAGGACAACTCTGCGGTGACTGTCCATGTTGCTGTCCATATGCTGCCAGGAGCGTACAATCTACAGAGGCAGACCACAGCTCCCAAGGCCTCACAAATGTGTGTGGAGTGAATACGGTCACACCCAACCAGTCATCCTCATGGGAGAGGTTTGCACAAGAGATCAGAGAAATAAGGTTCCAAATCTGACTACGCACTTCTATCTTCTCAAAAATTACATCCAATTACTGGTCTTCTACCAACAATTTTTTAAATGATGACTAAAAAGTCAAAAGGTACATTTATTAAAACAAGAATAAAAAAAACAGTATCACGCAGCAGGACGACCTCAAGAAAAAGGTCCCCAGTCAGCAGAAAGAGCCAAAAACAGGGCACTGTTTAAAGCTCACAAGAAAGACTTAGATGGAATCATGAAACTCAAAAAGCAAAGCTATGAATGCACCCAAGCATCCCATTTCTGACCCCCCGATCTCATGAAGGCACTCTTCCTGTGAAACACTCCTTAGAACAAGTCCATAGAACCACCTTCTGGTACAGAGTTTAACTTGTGCTGTGACACCTAGACTTAAGAGGAAAGCCAGCTGCATCCAGGCAGACTGCTCCATCTGCGTTTCAAAGGGGCAAATATGGGCTGAGACACAGCTTTTCAAACAACTGAAAGGATTAACCTTAATGGGCAGAAGGCCTCTTCGCTATAAAATGCTCAAGGAGGTGATCCTGTCCTCCAGCTCTGTGGTCTAATTCTAGAGCCTAGACAATTCAAGCTGTGGTGCTAACAAGAAACACATACATAAATGTCCACTAACCTTCATTGTGGTGAGGCAGCGAGTCACAAAACCCGAACAACAGGATGTGAAAATGGGAAGTTTCCTGTTATCCCGGGACTATATATCTTTCTTACTGGGATACCAGGAAGCATCTGACTGGCTGAAGCCGCCCACCAACGGGCTCTGGCACGTTGTCAACAGAGCACCACATAGCACCTTCCTCAGGAGGAGAGTGAACAATGAGATGAGACAGGGGCACAGTCTAGGCCGATAAATGTTTTGACTACAAGACTCCTCTAAAGCAAGGTAACAGATTATCTCCTGAAATAGGAATGTAGTCAACAAAAAGCAAAAGCAGAAACGTCTTAGCACAGAAGCCTACATTTCGAAGGTCACAGAAATGCCTCTGCAAGGAAATCACCAGTACTGAACCTGAGAATTACCACCACAGGAGACCAGCAAGGGTTCTGGGCATTCAGTGAGTAAGACAGACAAATGTAGGGCCTTAACCCTCAACTCTCCCTAACACCTGCCCTGACAGCAGGCTAGGCTCTGCTCCTAAGAGCAGAGGGCAAACAGGGAAGGGTCTGAAAGCCCAGTTCCACTGTCCTCAGCCCTTCTTCGATGGCATCTGGAGAAGCAGCTGTCACTATGAGCTGTGCACAGCCTGCAGGGAGACTCAGAAGAGAAAGATCCTCCCAGACAATCAGATGAGAACCTGATGGAGGGACTCTGATGTGCAGTCAAAGGTGATAGGTGCCTCCCACAAGAGATCAGAAAGGTCATTCTGAGTCCCACCAGGCAGTGAGCTCACAGAGCCACCCCCTCCTCACCCAGGGGACAACAGGACCACAGAGATGAACAGAAGGGAAAGCTAAGCCCTTGGTACATTTAGAATCTGCCCATTTGGAAAAATGTACTATACAAACTCGCCCTTAGTTTACATCTACGTGAATTTACATGTGCCACAGAATCATCCAATATTTCCAAAATAAAACCATCCTACACTAAAAAGTTCATAATATGGAAAATATTATGTGGCTTATAGTTAATATTCTACCTTCAATAGAAACAATACTGCATAATGAAATACATTTAATACCAAAGCATACAGAAACAAGGGTAGAAAAGCCCCCAAGTGCACAAAGTAGACACAGAAGCACTTTCTAAAAAGCTGCTGTTGTCTCCTCAAAGAGCAGGTAAAGTTAAGCAACACAGGTGACAGGCTGTGGAAAGGAGATGGCACAGTTCTGCCAGAAGGGAAGGCTGTAAGGCTAGAGCCCCTTGAAGAGCAGGGCTGCCGGATGCCTGTGCCATCTGACGACCATACTGAATGTCTGAGCCTGGGCTTCTCACCTCACAGCACGAATGAGGCATCAACAGGATGCAGGTGAGGACGAGGACGAGGGGACACGTGTGACCCTCACACCTCAAAAAGAAAAGGACTTCTGAATCCTGTGCTAAGCCCCGAGGACTCCTTCCAAAGCTGACCTGCTAAAACTATGTCCTGCCAAGGACGACTGATTTTTCTGAAGACACAGAAAATCACCACCAAGAAAAGAAACAAAAAAGCCCTCCATCTCGCTGAACAGACATAAAGAAAAATCACCTCTTCCACACAGTTCAATCTGGTCATTTTAAAGAAGGAAATGAAGCCTAAGAGAAAGAGAGCTTTTCTAACTACTCCAAATCACTAAGATCAATGGCACTCCTAACTGCTAAGCCCATCAATCAAAGAAAAAACGATGACAGGTGGACTCCTTGTCTTCTGACTGCTTTGCAGAAATTGCTTGGTGGGATCCTGAATGCAGCTGGTATTATTTAGGAAACTATCTTGAAATATACACATATGAAGCAAGGGGCCTAAATTAAACAGAGAAAGGCTAGAAAGTGCCGGTTCACAGACTGTAGAAGAAAGGAGTGTGCAGTAGAGAAGCTACCACGAACAAGTCCCTGCACTGTCAGGACATGAGATGAGACCCGACCACAGATGGAGACTCAGAAAGACACTCCTCCAAGAGTGGGCAGGAGCAGCAGCTGCCACTGGCAAACACAGATGTCTGGATCCAGAAGAGCATGGTACCCACAGTGGCCGGGAGCAGCACAGTACACTGGTCTTCAAGCATCACTAACATCTGACACTAAGAGAAATCCCTTTCCCAACCCAACACAGAAAGAAACAACTGTAGTGCCTCACCATGTCCTCCTCACATGTCTTCTGAACACATGAGGACTGGGCACCTGTGGACAGCCAGGCCCTGAGCCTTGTCCACAAACCTGTGCCATGGACAGCAAGATTGTTCCAGACTGAGAGGGACCTAAGGAACACAACCACCAGACCAATGAGTGATCTTGGGCTGAACCCTGTTTTGGAGAAAGCATCTGCAAAGGACAATTAGGGACAACAGGGAAATCGGGACACAGTCCAAGTGTTAGAAGGAGTCAAGGAATCATTCCTAAAATTGTCAGGTATGCCTTACTACTCTGCTACATCAGAATATGGACTGTTTTGCAAAGATATATTTTGAAGTATTTAGGGATGAACATCATGTTTAATACCACTTGGGTTAAAATATGTCAGCATGCTCAAAAATGAGTTTAAAAAGAAGTTAGGCTTTGGAATATAAAGACAAATGTAACAAGGCCATGGTGTTTGGCACCATGGGAAAGAGTACACTGGGGCTCAGGGTAAGGATGCCTGGAAGGGGCACAGGGCAGATTCCTGAAAAGCCAGCAAGTGGGTAATGGCCAGGTGAGGGTAAAGCACTCCAAACAAAGGGCAGGAAGGAGAGAAGGCATGGGAACTGCAGAGTCCTTTCTTCCACCTCCAACACTGCACAGCTTCCACTGTTAGTCAGATAAGCCAAGGCCACAGAAGCACCCTGGCACTTCTCCCCAACCCCAGTCTTCCAGTTCACAGTCCAGTGCTCTCTGCCTGATAGCTTCACCTCCACCCACTTTTACCAGTGTGAAGGACACACCCTCACAAAATCAAACACCCATGCCCAGAAGACGAGCGTCAAGAAGTGCATGAGCCACGTGGATCACTTGGCAGACAGAAAGCACACCTCTGCAGGAAAACTGCCCCTCTGCATGGGGAGAAAAAAGGAAGCCCCCAACACACACACACACTGAAGGAGTGTGTCTGCACTATGACTCTCACTGAGTCAGTGGACAGCAGCATCCAGGCCACCCATGCAGCTCTCTACAAGTCTTGGGCACTGCCCGCCACAGAACTGGAAACCAAACCAAGGCCCCATGCCTATGTTGGTGCAAACTCCAACAGGGCCACACATCTACCAACAACTACCCATGTGTGCACCAAAAGGCATACCTTTCTCTCTCCCACCATTCACCCAAAGAAATACAGTAAATTATTTTAACAGAAAAAAAGACTAATGAAAGTATCTCCAACAGGGACATTGACAGAGAAAGATGTTCTAAAACTAAGATGCAAACACAGACAAGACAGAATCACCCTATAAGTAACAACTCCTTTATTAGGGAGAATTTCCAAATACCAAAAAGATTTGAGCTGAGAGTATGTCACTTTTTCGAATCAATCTAAACAGCGGCTGCTACAAGTGACAACACAAACCTCCACTGACCAGGCGCTGATTCCCACTCTTCCTTCAGTTTCTCTCGAAAGCATAGAGATGCTCTTCCTCTGTGGGGACCTGGAATCATTTAATCCCAGTAGAAAGCTAAAATTATCATCGCCAACAAGAAAAGCATGCACACCATTAATTCCACCAAAACCAGGGTTAGGAATGAGAAGTCTAGGCTGTCTGCCTTGGCTGGAAGGTTGTTTGTCTCTTGGCTAATCTAGGGTATCATCTTACACAAGACATAACTTGAGGACAAATCTAACAGAAAATTGAAGAAGATGGGCAGATGACGGCTAAGCCTAGAGCCAACTTAACACAACAGTCATGCAGGACACCCTCAGAAGTGACTACCCAGATCACTACTAAGGGAGAAAGGGGTACTACTGAAAGTCAGCTGAGACAGAAAGGTAAAAAGCAGGGCCAACCCAGATAAGCAAGGCCACTCCAAGTCTATGTTTACAACCACAGTTGGGAAAAGCAGCTGGAGGAAGACACATGCACAGGGAGCTCACAAAGCTGGTAGCCAGGGACACAGCAGTATGCATCCTGCTACTCACCTGGGAGGGGAGAGAGGCTGATTTCACAACAACCTAACTCCAGCTGCACAACTCAAGGATTCCTCTGACACAGTGAAATGACAGCCCGCTTCAAGCAAGGGAGACCAGGGCCAAGAGAGCTGTCAGAAGAGAACGTGAGAGGGGATGGAAGTGGGGGAGTTTGGAAGCTGCAACAGGCACATGGAGAAAACATGGCAACCAGCAGGGGGGAAGGGGAGGCTCTGCACTTGCAACCAGAAAAGGGCACTCTGGGCCACCAGGCAGATGATGGGCACTGCCGTTGAACATGCCACGGCCAGCAGAGCACCAGAAGTGTCTGCAAGACCCAATGCCTCAGATCCTTTCCCACCCAAGGCAGAAGCCAAAATGAAGTGAAGCAGGCCAGGTCTACTGAGGTCACGGCCACTCAATGCCCTCCAGATGTGACTTATGTTCCACGCTCAGAGGCAGGAGGTCAGATTCTTGGCTTGGAGGAGCTCCCAGGCTAAAGAGCAAAGCAAAGCACCCACAACTTGAATGGCAGAGGGCTTCATAGAGAAGATGACACCTGTGTGCTCACAGGAAGGCCAGCCGTCAGAGCAGACAGAAGGGGAATGCAGTCACGCCATGTGGACAGAAGGTACTCATCTGCATCAGCAAGTTGGTATCTGGCCTACAAGAACAGCTCCACTCTCCTTCCCTGTCTCTTCCCCTGCCATCCAGCCTCCAGGCTGAGGGACCCACTCCTCAGTGCCCAGCACTCAGACCCCCCCACCCCCCAAGCTCTGATCTTCAAAGACTTTGCAATCTGGCCAAGACTCAACCCCCAGCCTTAACTGCTGCCATTTCTCTGTAAGTTTCTATTCTGGCATATTCCTTATTTTATGGTTATTTGTAATAGCTGAATGTAGTATCAAGCTTAGTTCTTGAACAAATGCCTGATGTAAGATGGGGCTTAACTGGTCTACAGTGCCCTCCTGGCAGGCTGCTATTAGGGTAACCCTGTGTGCACCCACAAGCTTACATCACCTAGGCTCCCAGATGTGAAAACCTCTGGCCAGACAAAGAATGACTAAGTCTTAACAGAAATGCCTCAACCAAAAGAACACTATTGCAAGTAAAGACACCTCCACAGTATGGGTCCTGGGAGCTGATGCTGGTCCCACAAGAACTTTCACACTTAGCAGGCTATCTTCCAACTCTCTTTGTTCTTCCACCCCTGGCTAACTACAACAGCAGCTGGATGGTAGCTGTGACTAGCTACCCTTCCTGCAGAAGTCTGCAGCCAGCAGGTACACAGGTACACAGGCATAGCCACCTGACTAGCTGTGACCAATCGTGTGAGCAGCAAGGACAGACAGCCACTGTGAACATAAACAACACAAGATACATGCTAGTTCTAACCAGAAGTACTTCAACAAGTCTCCCTATCCTTTTCCTTTAGAAGAGAATGGAGCTGCTCCATCAGCCTAGATTCTAGAGAGTAAAGGGATGCCTGGAGCAGAGTGACCCCTATCTGTACTTAACACAGTAGTGTTAATGACTCTGGCATTGTGAGGCACAGGAATGCAGGAGCAATTTATTAACAGAGTCACTAGCAAGGCGATCAGTTTCAAGAATGTTGAAGGAGGAGGGAGTACATCTCCAAAAACAGAAAAAAAAAAAAAAAAAAAAAAACCAAGACACATCAGGTGAAGCAATTCAGTCATTCAAAGTAAGACCACTTTAACATGAGATCGTCAAAGTTAACCTCTTAACTAACACAGATACAAAATGCTCTGTCATTCAAAGAAAGACTGTTCTTAGCAAGCAATTGCCACTTCCTAGCAAACAAGGTTTACCCTTCCTTCCCTGGAGAGAGCTTTTTCTTGCTCCCTTGTTCTCCTGACCTAACTGGGGCTAACTAAGGGGCAACAGGAGATGCAGAAAGGACAAAGGATAGACTGACAGACAGAAAGTTGGGGCCAGGTGCGCTGGGCTCTCAGATGGAGACGCACAGCAGCCTCGTTGCTTCCTTTCTCTCCTAACTCTTCTTTTGCTTCGCTTCTCTCCATTATTCTCTTCTCTATTCTTTAAGGCCTTATTGCTTTATAATTTTTTAAAGCCTTGCCCCTAAAGTCTTCTGTTCTTTAAAGTCTCTTTCCTTAGACTCGCTCTGCCCCATGTCTACTCTTAGCTTTTCTTTAACATAATCTCTCAAAGTCTTTGTCTAAACTACATTAGCGTAACTCTTTAAGACTTGCACTGTCCCATGTTCTCTTTAGCTTTTCTTTAGCTTAGCTTTTCTAAAGCCTATGGTATAAAGTTCTCAGTGCAGACCTGCACTGTCCCATGTTCTCTCTTTGCTTTCTTAAAGTCTTGGCCCTCAGACTTGCAGACAAACAACAGTGACCGCGTCATTCAGTGGCAGTCCTCTCACAAGCAGCCAACCAATTCTATAACCTCTCTTCAGCAATTCTCCTTTAACAATTATTTTTCCTTCAGCAATCCTCCCTTCAGCAATCTCCCTCCAGCAATTTCCCTTCAGCCAAAAAACCCTTCATCTCCTTCAGCAAGTCTTTTATATCCAGTGGTAAACAAGGAGGTGGAGCAACAGTTCTCAGGGAGGGGCATGACACTGCAACAAAAGAAACCTGCTGTTCTTGCTTCTCTGAACATAAACAACTTTGGAAAAGCAGCTGAGCTGCATCTGGCCTGGTAGAGCTCTTCTGCAGCTGGGACTGTGCCAAATCTCAGCCTACAGATTATTTGACACAAACATCTTAGGAAAAGCAGCTGCTCTGCATCTTACTCTCGCCCTCTTCTGTGGCTGGGGCTGTGCTGAACTCAGCCTGCAGAATATTGAGTACAACTGTGTTTATGTCCTCATAGGGTTCTCATACTCCACTCCCCACACTTCCCAAATCAAAAATGTGCCAATTACATAAATATTGAAGATTACTGTTTCATAGAATCTCCAAGGGACATAGGGATATCTGCACGTGAGCCCTGAAGGAACACAGTCCTTTACAGAAGACCCTTGCTTCCTCTTGGTTGATAAACAGTCTTCATGGCAAGGGCAGGAGAAAGGGAGACATGATATAACATGCAGGCAGAAGGACAGAGCAACCAGGAGAACTCACCCACTCTGATACATGCTTAGATCTACCCAGTTTAACCTCTGGACGAAAACTCAGTCTAAGCCTCAGTGGCTTCACAACATCTGTGTCAGAGTCTCTCAGGAGCAGCTTGGCTGCATGGATATGGCACATGGTCTTGAGGGGAGGCCATCAAGGTGTCAGCTGGAGCTGTAGGCATTTGGTAGGCTTGGCAGGCTGCTGAAACAATCCCATCACTCAACTGTTGGCAGGAGGCCTTAGTTCCTTGTGTCAATGCCTTCAAGTGCTGTCAAGAAGGAAGCCAGGGCCTAAAATTTTAGAAATGAAACAACCCAGCACCCCAGAAGTCACAAGCACCATATTCTACCAGTGCAGCCCACACTCCCGGGAAGGAGATCACAGTTCCACTTGCAGATGGGAAGAGGATCAAAATGTGAGGACAACACCTTAAGACCACCAGGAGGTAAGCAAGCTTGCAGCTAGTGAGACAGAGCAAGAACAGCTGTGCAAGAAGCCAACAATGAAATACATGGTCTGTGGTAAAGCCAGACACAATACCCACACTAGAGTTCAAGATCTGGATGTGAATTCAGCACTAGTACTAAACGAGTACACACTAATGGGATCCAATACAGGACACACACCTGCCATGATCTGTGTTCATCACAAGTGCATCAACACACCTGCCCAGTGTTCTCACCAACGGTCACAGCAGCCTGGCCACACAGACTCACATATCACCATCAGCACAACTGACGTGACCCACCTCACAATGGTGACCTAAAAGCAAAAGCAGGAATTCACACGTCAATGAAGTTCCCAGTGAGCACATCAGCAAGCATGCAGCAGGCATGTGGAGAGGAGAGCCTCCCTTCTCCTCCTCACTTGTCAGCACCTCAACACCAACGAGACACCCACAAGGGGGGTCCAAGCCAAGACTTGCTCAGCCCCCCGGAGCTTTAACATTAGCCCAGCCCCTCGAATGAGTCTTTGAGGAAGCTATTTTAGACACACACAAACACACACACACACACACAAATCACTATTTTTGGCAGAGTTCTGGAGTGTGGCCTACAAAGTTTAAAAATATAATTTTGCCCTATTACACTGCCAAATGGATTTTGTGATTTTAGAACAAGAATAACTAAAAATGAATGTTGATTAAGTGGTGCTATTTAAGTTTAATGCAAATGGTCCATATCATTGGGGATGTGAAAAGCAGAAATCCAACACTGAAGTTTTATCATCTTGGCTTCTGGAAATCGTGTACTTAATTCCACCTACTCTGACTCCCCAGGAATAAAACTGAATGTCTGATGACAGGTTCCATCAATTATAGCACTTTCACCCCACATTCCCCCAACAACTTATTTCAACTTAAAACAAGAATCGAATCTTATTCCAATCTGTAGACTCCACTGCACCAACACCCAACTGCTATAACAGGGAACACAGATTCATAAAAAAATAATCAAAAATTTTGTTAGTGTCCAGTAAAGGCTGGGGCAAGCACAGAAGGGAGCCAGGAGCACAATAATGAAGAGAAGTGAGACACCTTCTTCTGACCAGTGCAACTCATCCTTCCCCAGCCTAGGCTCAACCTTCAAGACACACAGCGAGGGAAGCGGTAGCACAGGGCAGGAAGAAAGGAAGATAACCCACCTGCTGAGGACCACTGCATGCCATGTGGGCATGAGCACGGGCTTGCCCTCATGTAGTTCAGAATGCACACGAGTTTTACCTTACAGACAGGGAGATCAAGTCTCCAAAAACAGTGTGACAAAAGTGACGAGGGCAGAACCAAGACCTGATCCAGATCAGTCTGGCTTTGCTCATGACACCACACAACCAGCCAGGGGAGGAAGTATGAAGCTACAGGCACCAGGGGACAGTGTGGTCTCACACAGGTCACATGAGCATCCCAAATAGCCAGCACTGTCCCTTGACTGCACCTGAACACAGATGACAGCAGGACCTGGGCAGAGGTCCAATACCTGCAGGAAGTGATAGCAGTTAGAGCTACAAATGCACTAACTTTTGCACTAACTAATGCAGAGTACTGCATTAACGCTGAAACTCAGAGCCAGGGGAACCAGACACGGGGGCTCCAGCTTGCAATCCTAGCTACTTGGGAGGCAGAGAATGGAGACTGTGGTTATAGCACAGCCCAGGCAAAAAGTTCATGAGATCCCATCTCAATCAGTGGCTGTGCACAGTGGTGGGCACTTGTCCTCCCAACTATGTGGAAAAGCACAAATAGGAGGACTGTGGTCCAGATTGGATAAAGCAAGACCCTATCTCAAAACTAACCAATGCAAAAAGAGCTAGGGGAGAGGCTCAAGGAACAGAGTGCCTGTCTACCAAGTGTGAGGCCCTGAGTTCAAACCCCAGTAGTACACAAAAGAAAGGAAGGGAGGGAGGGAGGAAGGGGAGAAAGAGAGAAAGAAAGAGAACGGCTCAATTAAAAGCACACAGGCATATTTTCTTTACTATAAACTTTACACCTCCCTCAGTAAGCTGCAACATTTAATAAAAAGAAGAAAAAAAGAGAGGGAGAGCAGCTCTCGCCCTCTTGCCATTGTGCCCAAATGGTTGCTCTGGGACTGAATAAGCATATCCTAGAGAATGACACTTAACCTAGAAAAACAGTAAGTATAATAAACTCTTGGGAAGATGACTCATTTG